CCCACAGCCATTCCCCCTTGCCTCTTACTGCCATTCCCCCTTGCCTCCCACTGCCATTCCCCCTTGCCTCCCACAGCCATTCCCCCTTGCCTCCCACAGCCATTCCCCCTTGCCTCCCACTGCCATTCCCCCTTGCCTCCCACTGCCATTCCCCCTTGCCTCCCACTGCCATTCCCCATTGCCTCCCTCTCTCTCTCTCTCTCTCTCTCTCTCTCTCTCTCTCTCTCTCTCTCTCTCTCTCTCTCTCTCTCTATCTCTCGCTCCTGTCTCTCTCTCTCTCTCTCTCTCTCTCCCTCTCTCTCTCTCTCTCTCTCTCTCTCTCTATCTCTCGCTCCTGTCTTCTCTCTCTCTCTCTCTCTCTCTCTCTCTCTCTCTCTCTCTCTCTCTCTCTCTCTCTCTCTCTCTCTCCCTCTCTCCTTCTCCCTCTCCCTTTTCCTCTCCCCCCCTCCCCCCCCCCCCCCCTGCCCTTCGTCTTGCATCTCCCATTGCCATCATATGGATGCTGATTGCATATCCAGGAAGATCTCTCGGCTGTTGACAAGGAGTTCATCATGCGGACACCAGGCATGCAACAGCTGATTTGTGCCCAGCCTCCCCCCGTCGGTGGTCGACGCGGGGATACGATCCAGAAGCGGTTTTCGACCTTCGACGTCGAGGTAGGCAATCCTCCAAGCCCGCCGCGATGTCAAGCCGGACCAGCGCGCGCGCTGGTCGTTTGTTTATTTACACCAAGTTCACTCAGCGCCCCCTCCTCGTGTGACCCCATGCCCTGTTGAGTCGCGAACACCTTCCCTTGTATCTCACAATTCTTTGTGGTGCTACCCCCGTGTGCAATGTTTATTGGCAGTGCGCCCTATGGAGGTGGACCATTGAGGGCCAGAGATGGGGGAATCCGTACCTTGCTGTCATGCCGGATATTATGCACCAGGCGGACCTGGGCCTGCTGGACCATATTGTGAAGTGCATCCGACAGATTGTCCCAGGCGAGCTAAAAACCCTTGACGAGTAAGCCGGCATCCCATAACTGAAGCATCCTCTCCTTTTTGTGTCTATTCGTTGTATGGGCTATTAGACAGCGGCCCTGCAGCCCCATCTTTCTCGTGCTCCACTTGTCCTCAGCACCATCTGTCCTGCCCCACCCGGTTCCAAGTTTATACCCCTATACTCTGCATGTCTCTCCCTCCCTGACAGTCGCCTAAAGGATGTTCGTGTGGCCACCCGCATTCCATGTTTGAGGCTGCCACTGAGCGCCTATTTTGTTAGCGGTGGCGCCCAGACGGCTGCCTTCGAGCACAGAGCTGTAATGCAGGTATGACTCCGGCTAACTTTGCAGTGATGCACCCAACTTGGGTGCGCCACTACGAAGTTCCCCCTTGCTACTTCACACCACCTATGTCTCATCTACCGTCCCACCTTGTGCACACCGCGCCCCGTTCCCTTTGTTCCCTCCTGCTCAACGCATCTCTACCCCTCCCCCATCATTGCTGCACCTCTACCACCCTTCATGAACCCCCCCTGTCCATACTTCACCACTGCCAGTGTTGATTCTTTTATGCTGCCCAATCCTTTTGGCCGTCATTGGGAGCGTCACCTCCACCGCGACTACATTTGTTAGTCACCTCATTGCCTCCACAGACAATGCCTCCACAGACCAAACATGCCATGCACCACCCCACACACCCTCTCCACCCCCACCCCCCCCCCCCCCCCCCCCCCCCTCCCCCCTCCTTGCCCCACGATTCCACCACCCCGCCGTGTTTTGCAGGTCCTAATCTTCCTGGTCGCCGACAAGCTCGGCGCGCCTCAACTGGAGGCAATCAGAGCGTACCTGGACTGGTACCTAGCCTGCTACGCCCCATCTCACACCGAACGCTCCCTGCATGCGTTGCAGGGAAAAACAGAGAGGTATGTTCACCCGATCCTTACTCTGCCTTATTCCTATCTCGCTCACCGCCCCCTGCTGGTCCTTGTGCTCCTCGCCTAGTCAGTCGTTTTATATCTGTCGTGCTCTGAACATCTCCTGAACGTCTCTTATTACGATGGCCACACCGTTGCAGGCTTGTGGAGCTTCTTAAGTCGGCATTTCCGGAGCAGGTTTCGGCCTGGAACCTCATCAAGACCCACCTTATGCCCCACTTTATAGATTCGATTCGTTCGTAGGGCAGGATATGTGCAGGAGTACAGCACGAACGTCTTCGAGCACCTGCATGGACCGCTCTTAAAACAGATCTATAGGCGCTCGAACAAACGAAACGTAGATGTCCAAATAATGAAGCACCACGAAATGCGTCTAGACTTCACCTGCATTGATGAGAACGAGAACGCACGACAAACAGCCATGCAAAAGGTAATGTAGCTGCCAATGTGTGCCTCATCTTGTTCGTGCATGCTTAATTCGTGACTGCTTCCCACGTGCAGGCGATCCAGGGAGGCATCAGAGTCATGACCAAGGATTCCTACTACTTCCCAGTGGATCCGGTGGTGGCAGTTAGGCCACGAAACTGGTTTGCACGGATGTGGACAGAGCAACACAGCGAGGCACATAGCAGTTTCCAGAATGCACTCGCACGGCATCCGGCGCGCTTCACGCCAACCATAGTCAGAGTAAGTAGCATGGCAACGAAGCATGTACAAGGGTTGCCTCAACCTCAATCTATCACTAACTAGGTAGCCACTTTATTCTTGCAGGCCCATACCACTCTCGCTATACCAGCAGCAGAAGAAGAGGGGTATGCAGGCACCGCACACTTCGTGAAAGCAACGCCCAGGTCCCACGACAAGCCCTGGTTTTCTGACGTGGCAATTAAGGGACTAACAGGTGACGGGCGAGAGATGGAGTGGTATGGACGACTTTTGTTGCTATTCCAGATCAAGAGGCGCGGGGTTGTCCATGAGCTGGCTTATGTGAGGTATTGGACTGTGACAGGTGAGGATGCAAAGACCGGATGTCGTCGCCTCCTCTGGACACCAGGACCTTCGCAGTATTCCGTCATCGACTGCGACACAATCAAGCGACAAGTCCATGTGGTGAAGTCGTTTCATAGCCAGAACGCTTTCCATATGAATAAGTTTTTGCTGATGTAGTAAGCCATTCTTAATAATAAGTGCTGAGAAAGCCAATGGGTGAATAAATTGTACACATACAACAATTCTTAACTTTCGTATTACTAGCAAGTAATACACAACCCTAAACTTGAAATTAGGTCTGAGTTTTGACCTAAACGAAACCAGAATACAGATGTTCTATCATGACTAAATTTCAGCGGATTTGAGTGAAGGTAAAGTCCGAATTCGTTGAGCCGAGCCGCGTTCAACTGGGCGAGATGGGCGCGAAGCACAATTAACCAATTGACAGCACTCGCGAGACGATTTCGTGAGGGGTTGGACGAAAATTGCGTGCCCCCTCCCGCCAACCCAACTTCCGAAGCCAACTTCGCGATCACGCCACCAAAACAAAATGAGCCTTTTTTGTGATGAACTGAGCCGCAGCCTCGTGGGGGCGATGTGGCTGCCCAGGACCCGCAGTCCAGGGTCGCGAACGGGATGCCGGGGGGTAGGAGGGAGGAGGGGTTGGGATTGGGACCAGGCGCGCACTTAGATGGGTTGTGCGTGAGGCCCAGGGGGGTCAGAGCGTCAGTGAGGTGCGTGAACGCCGCTGTGCACACTGCCGGCTCGCCTAGCAGCGTGATGTCGTCAGCATACGCTAGCACAGGACGCTGGGGTACGCTGCGGCGGTCGCTTGCAGGGCGGGGTGCATGGCGGCGGCAAAGAGCAGCGGCCCATAGGGTCCCCTTGCCGGACGCCTCGAGCGCTGAGCAGGGGCGGGCTGTTGAAGCCGGCGTCGAGGTACAGCTGGGAGGGGGCGCCCGTACGAGAGTTGGACGAAGGGTAGGAGAGGGCGGAGGGGGAGTTATAGAGGCCCGAGACGATGCGCTGCGATCAACGCTGTTAAAAGCGTTGGTGAGGTCGATCTGCAGTAGGAGCGAGGATGGTCGCTCGGTGGCGAACGCGCGGGCCCCGTGGATTATTGCCTCTCCGCCGGCCTTACCGCGACGCCGTACTGCAGTGGAGAAAGTGATTGCGCGCTCGATCCGCCATCGCAGATGAGTCCTGCTTTGGCGGCAAGGCCGGGTGGAGGCACTCGCCCACGGCGATGGGGGCGCGTGCCTCCGTCGGGTTTAGGGAAGGCGAGTAGGCGGCTGGCTGTGAGGAGTGCTGCTACGTCAGGAGTGGAGTCGCCCCGCAGCAATTGAGTTACGAGGAGGTGGAGTTTGCTGGCGACGGCGCTGTTGGCGAGGGCTGCATCGCGAATGTGTTCGAAGCACATTCCGAGGGGCCCGCGCCGACCCCGTTTTCGCTGCGACTCAGTAACCTGGTGAACTCTGCGAGCGTGAGGGAGGGGGGGACCTCCGACTCGTCGATGTGTGGCCAAGCGAGTGACTCAGTCAGTGGCGGTGGATGCTTGGTTTTCAACGCCTCGAGGACTTCCTGGGTTGACTCGCCGACCGGTGTCGAGTCGAGGGCCAGCAGGGCGCGCCTCAGGCTGCCTCGGCGGACCAGCCCCTCGGCTCGAGATATTTTGCCGAGGGTGTCCCCTGTGTGACGTGGCGCCGGTGGGTCGTGGATGGCGTCCACCGCTGCCAGGTAGAGCTCGTGCCAATCGCCTGCCAGGAACTGCTGGAGCCTTTTTTCCACGGTGGGCCAGTCAGGGTGTTTTGGCGAGTTGAGGCGAAGTGTCAGTCGAGGTACGAAAAGTAACAGGCGCCAGCCTGGCAGGCTGGTCGGTTGGGCTGCGAGGTGGAGGAGGGGTGTCAGCAGGACGAGGGCGAAAAGCTGGCGAAGTTTGGGGGGGATCTTGCGGGAAAGGGGGGGTTGGCGACTGTCGCAGAGGAGCCCGATATCCCAGCTGGCTACCCCCGCGAAAAGCTGTTCGTTGGCGGCCAGCTCTCTCTCTCTCTCTCAAGCGGTCCGTTTATTGCTTGGAAAACTGGGTACAGGCTAGGCAAGGCAGGCAAGGGGCAGCAAGGCAAGGTACGTGCATGTTTGGGGGCTCGAAACTACACGAGCTCCCCTAGGGGCTCTGCTATGGCAAAGCAGTCCCCGGGTGCCATGTCGGCGTCAGGGGTGCCCACTGGGGTGTGGGGGGCAGGGGAGGCTTCATTAACTTTCCCCAGGTAAGCCAGGGCCTGTGCCCGCTGCAGCGTCACTGACCAGCGTTGGCGAAACTGGTGGAGCAATTTTGCGGCCTGGTAGGAGCTGGGTCCGCATTGAAAAGTCTCCTGGCCCCTGTGTCAGCCAGCAGCTTCAAGAAGGTAGGGACCTCGGCACATGGGCAGCCATATGTCTCTCTCTCTCTCTCTCTCTCTCTCTCTCTCTCTCTCTCTCTCTCTCTCTCTTCTCTCTCTCTCTCTCTCTCTCTCTCTCTCACGTGTGCATGCCAATAGCCCCTCTGCTTCCCTCCTCACGCTGCGTGCCTGCATGGTTGCGTGCGCTGCTGAAGTACCCGTTTGAGAAAGCAGCTCTCGAAAAACGCACATGTTCGAGGTGAGTGTGGGGAGTGGGATGCATATGGGCGAAGCAGGATCAAGGTCTCCTTGACATACCGCCCCATGGGCATGGGCAACCCACTGCCCATAGGCATGGGCAACTCACTGCCCAGATTCCTCACTTTTCGGCCCCATGTAATCCCACCCCCCTCCTCTCCCTCGTTTCAGGCTTTCTCAAGCTCCGATTGGCGTGGCCGGCACACCGATAGTCAGGCCAAAGTCCATAGTCAAGGGTTATCAATGGGATTATATAGAAATGCATCGATATAAATGGCCCCTCGAAACCCCTTCTCTTTCCCTCTTCTCCCCCCCCCGCCCATAGTTTTCACCAGGCCTTTTCAAGCCCCAATTGGCGAGGATGGCACACGAGGAAGGCAGAGTCTATATATATTATTGGAGGTGCCTCGAATTCCCCGTCCCCCCCTCCCCATTCCCCCCCATTCCTCCCCGTCCCCCCCTCCCCATTCCCCCCCATTCCTCCAGGCCTACAGCCCCAGGTGGCAAGGGCAGCACACGGGCAAGGCAGAGTCATATCTTGAGCAAGTGGCGAGCCCCAGTCCCCCACCTTCCCCCCATTCCCCCCCATTCCCCCCCATTCCCCCCATTCCCGCACATCTGTGCAGGCCTTTTCCAGCCCCAAGTGGCGTGGGCGGCACATGCACAAGGCAGAGGCGCTTCTGAGGGAGACCAGGGAGAGGAGGGAAAGGAGCAAAGGAAGGAACCAGCAGCCACGTCAGCAGCGCAGCTCGGGCCCGCTGGTCCACATGTACGCGTCGCTGGTGCGGCATTATGCCAGGGAGGGCCACGTCAGCAAGGTGGTAACCCTGTTACAGCAGATGAGGGACGACCTGGCCGCATCGGGACGAAAGGTGCCGCCCCAAGCTACAGAAGCCGTGGTTTTTTGCGTGTGCTCGGGCTGTATACAGGAGCCGGAAGAGGAGGGAGAAGGTGGGATCAGGGGGAGGTGTAGCTTCAGACTCGGGTGCTGCAGCCATGGGAGCGAGTATGGGTGCTGATGTCAGGGAGAAGGGGGGAGAGGGCAGCGAGTTTGGTGTGAGAGGAGTGGGTAATGGAGGGGCGGGCGAGGAGGAAGGGGAAGTGCCTGCTGATGCTCTAGTGGACCATGCATCCGCTGCCATGCAAGAACTTGTAGAGGCGGGAGAGGAGCACGGAGGGGGGGGAAGGGGCGGAGGGGGGGGAGGGGAGGAGGGAGCCGGGGGGTATGTGGTGGGTGAGAGGGTGTGGGCAGCGTATATGGAGACGCTGAACCATGCAGGCAGGTATGAGGCGAGCATGGGTGCATGGCCGCATGTCATGGTGCTACAAGGGGGGGAGGAGGAGGAAGGGGAAGGGCGGATGGGCGGTATGGGTGCAGGAAGGGTGGGAGAGTGGGAGGGAGGAGAATGGGGCAGGGCGACAGCAGCAGCAGCAGCAGCAGCAGCAGGCGCTAACGCTGGTGCGAATCTGCCCGGCTTGCGGGCGTGCAATGCATACCTGGCAGCGCTCACAGGCGCGGCTGCTAAAGCAGCGGCGGAGGGGCGAGGAGAGGAGGCAGCGCGGTGGGGGGAGGAGGCAGAGGCGTTTTTTCGGGAGATGCTGCGGGCAGAGAGAGGGCCGCTGACTGCGGCCTTCAACTCGCTGCTGCAGATGTACCTCCACCAGTCGCGCCTGAATGACCTCGAGAGGCGCTTCCAAGGCATGAAGGAGGTGGGCGCGCCCTTCCTTCCTTCCCTCTCTCCATCTCCTTCGTCCTGCCATCCTTCCATTGCTGCACTTGTTGTACCTCCACCAGTCACGCCTGAACGGCCTCCTCTTGTTGATCCATTGTGTGGAAGGCACCAGCAGACGGTGGGGTTCCTCAGGTCTCCTCAGGTGCTCCCCTTGTGTCTTCACTGCTGCAGGTGGGGTGCCTTCCCGATTGCACGTCCTGCCGTCTGCAGCAACGGCACACATCAGATTCCCTTCATCTCTTGTTTACTCTCCTCCTCTCATTCTCCCATCCCCTGCTGCAAGTGGGGGGCCTCCCTGATCGCACATCCCTGATCGCACCTCCCTGATCGCACCTCCCTGATCGCACATCCCTGATCGGACCTCCCTGATCGCACCTCCCTGATCGCACATCCCTGATCGGACCTCCCTGATCGCACCTCCCTGATCGCACATCCCTGATCGGACCTCCCTGATCGCACCTCCCTGATCGTACCTCTCCAATCGCACCTCTCCAATCGCACATGCGCCTGGCAGCACACATCAGATCAAAGCCCTCTTTTCCACACAACCTCACGCTTGGTGGTTTCCTCTCACTTTCTCCTTTTCCCATCTCTGCCACAATTGGGGTGCCTCCCCGATTACACCTCCTACCTGATGCGCCTGGCAGCAGAGAACCAAGACCCCCTTCTTCCCACACAATGGAGCGCTTGCTCTCTTATTTCTCCTGTTCTCCATTTCCGCGTCCCCGTTGCAGGTGGGGTGCCTTGCAGGCGGGGTGCCTCCCCAATTGTGCCTCCTACCACCTGCGCCTGGTGGCACACATCAAAGCCCCCACTTCCCACACAGTTTCAAGTTTAGTTTAGTTTTTTTTTTTTTTTTTTTTTTTTTTTTTTTTCCCATAATCTCTGCTGCAGGTGGGGTGCATCCCAGACCGCACGTCCCACCACCTGCGCCAGCAGCGCACATCAAAGCTGGGGACCTCGGCATGGCAAAGAGAATCTTGAGGTGCCTCAAACACATTCCTCTCTGTTCCTAATTCTCTTTCTTCCCTCCCTTCTTTACCGCAGGTGGGGTGCATCCCCGACCGCACGTCCTACCACCTGCGCCTGGCAGCGCACATCAAAGCCGGGAACCTCGGCATGGCAAAGAGAATCTTCCTGGAAATGAACTCCAACAAAGAGACAGGCGCAGACGGACACACCTACAACCTGCTCATAGCAGCGTGCGGAGCAGCAGGCGACACCCGAGCTGTGCGCTCCCTGTATGTGGAAATGGTGGGGAATAGGAAAGACCGGGGGAGGAAACCCGGCATGGTGTTGGTAGGAGCGGCGAGGGAAGCGGCAGAAGCAGTAGTGGGGAAGCTGAGGGTGTTGAGGGACGAGAGCCGGAGCATGAAGCTGAGTAAAGAGCAACGGCAGGTGCTTGCAGGGGTGCTGCTGGGCGGTGCGAGGATTGCTGCGCAGGACAACGAACGGACGTACGAGATCCACTTTGAGCAGCCGCTGGACAATCCTGGCCGTGTAGACCTGCTGGAGGCGCTGTTCCGGGCGTTTGGCCCATGGGCCAGTGCGCCGCCCAGAAACATGCTCCTGCTCATGCCGCCCGCGCCTAGTGCGTCGCCTGATGCTGCCGCCGCCGCTGCCGCTGTTGCTGCTAACACCGCTGCTACCACTGCTGCTGCTGCTGCTGCTGCTGCTGCTGGTGCCTCCGACCCCCTAGCAGCAGCAGGCGTGCATCCCATCCGCGTGCGTCACTTTGCCACCATCCCCCACACGTCCCTGCGCTACCACGCGCAGCGGTACCACCCGCAGGGCAACCGCGCGGTGCCTAAACTCATCCAGCGCTGGCTCACCCCCAAGACGCTCGCCCACTGGTACATGTACAGCGGGCGGCGCTGCGAGGACACCGGGGGGATGATCCTGCACGCCAAGCAGTATTCGAGTCGGGACTTGAGAAGGATTGCGCGGGCGCTTTGTGTGTCGGTGAGGGATTGTTGGGTGAAGATGAGGTATCGGCGGCCTGGGCAACGGGTGCTGGAGAGAGGGGGGAGGAAGAAGGGGAAGAAGTTGAAAAAGGGGGGGAGGGGAAAGGAGGGAGGGGATGGGGAGGAGGGAGGGGAGGGGAGTGGAGTGAGGGATAGGTTGAGGTGGAAGGCGCAGATGGGGAGGGTGGCTTTGGAAAGTCCGTGGGATGCGCCGAACCTGATTCGGTTCGGCGGAGCCACGGCGACGAGGCTGTGGAAGTTCATGGAGGGGCATGTGCTGCCGAGCCTGAGGGACGAGCTTCGGCCGGGCGTGAGGATGAGGTTTGGGGGAGGTGATTCACGGGCGGGTGGTGCCAGCAGGCTTGATGTCAGGGGAGGTGGTTTGGTGGAAGAGAGTGGGGAGAGAGAATGTGGTGGGGAGGTGGAAAAGGATGGGGGTTGGGAGGAGGAAGTGGGGGAAACGATGGTGGGGGGTGGGGGGTTGATGGGTAGAGAGGGGAAAGAGGGTGGGGAGGTGTGGTCTGATGATGCATGGGGTTCAGATGGGTCGGATGAGGTGGGAAGAGATGAGGATGAGGAAGAGGACGACGAGGAGGATGAGGATGAAGAGGAAGAGGAAGGGGAGGACGATGAGGACGATGAGGGCGATGAGGATGAGGAGGATGAAAATGATGTTGACGATGATGGAGATGAGGATTGGGAGGAGGACGAAGAAGCGGAATCTGACCATCACAGAGAGGAGGGCGGTGGCTTGAAATGGGAGCGGGAAGCAGAGGGGAAGGAGCAGGAAAGTTTCCTCGTCAAGCCTAAAGGCGGTGACGATTCAAGGCAGGGAGGACAGCACGGGCTAAAAGTGGGGGTTGATACTGCCTCTCAGCTAGGCATCGAGAACCGGGAAGGGAGAGGCTCAGAGCCTGGCGGGTTCGAGAGGAGGAGAGGGGTTCGGGGAAGGGGGAGGGAGAAGGATACGAGGGAGGAGATCGGGCTGAATGAGTGGATCCCTTTGGAGCTCGCTCTTTATATGGAGAAGGTGCAGACCCCAGTGTTCAAGAAGAAACCCAAGAAGCGAAGGTAGTAGCTTGTGTTTGGGGGCTTTAATCTGTAAGGAGACGGTTCAAAGTTTGTGCTTGCTTTAAGAAAAACAAGTGGATCCCATTGGTGCCTGCTCTGAAAGAGGAAAATTGCGCAAGCCAAGGTACGGTATTCACGATTCCCAAGGAATGAACGCGACTTTTATTAAGTCGATAAGCAAAAGAGGCAACGGTACGGTAGTTTAGAGGAGTGAAGGAGATTGAGTTAGATAATTAACATGAAAGGCTCAACCCAAAATGTAACGAGGAGGCACACATTCATTTAATAGGTAGAATTAGTATGATTCGTTTGAGTCATACTTTCACATCCCCAGGTGTTCATGCAGTCTAGCCAATAACGGAAAATTTCGTAGCACACTCGGAACCGACCACGGACAAACCCATACCCTCAACCCTTCCCAAGACCCCCAAACCAGATTCCCCATCACTGCACCGCACGTCTCTAGTCTCCTCAACTCGCGCGTTTCCTAGAGGATCCCATACCCAGCCCCTCCCGCGTGACTATAACGGACGGCCATGGCGGCGTCAGGGGCGGACGCGGTGAGCGCGTGGCTGCTGCAGACCACGAGTGCTGACGAGGCCGCCGTGAGATCTGCCAGCTCAGCACTGGAGGAAGCTTCCAAGCACCCGGGGTTCCTGGGCCACGTGCTGTCCGTCGCAGCAGGTGTGTCCGGCGTTGACGCTCCCCCTTCCGAGTCGACTAAAAAAGCAGACTTTTATGCTCCCCTCCCCTGTTTTCTCTCCGCGTTTTCTCGAATTCGCAATCTAGCACTTTTGAAAGAATCATGGTGAATGACGTGCTGCAACCCCCCGCATTCTCGGATTTGCGATCTCTGAACTAGTCAGCCTCCTCGTATTCTCGCCCGTCGCGTCGTCTCCGAAATATCTGGAACGATTTTAATCTCCTCATTCTCATTCTCCGCCGTGCGCTTTCGCCATCTCCCCGCCTGAAGGCGTACCCCTAGCCTTGCGAGTTAATCTCGGCCGTACAATGCGAGCACGGTGCAAAAGAGATCTGGATCGTCCAGTCTAATCGCCCATTCTTTGGTTCCCGGCTCGAATTTTGCAGTTCTCAAGTCTTTGGTCCAAACCTTTGAGTCACAACCCCCCGTTCCGCCCTTCCTCTCCCTCCTCCCTCTGCCCAACTCCCCTCCCGCCAGAGGCTGTTTTAAAAAGGGTAATTACCCCCGCCGGGACCAGTAAAGAATGAAGGAGTGCTGGATCTTGAAAGGGTCGAGTTTATATGGAGCCAGGCGTGTATCCAAGTGGGCGAGGGGGCTTCCGGACGAATCCGAATTCGCTTAGGGCCCATTCCGGACGACCCGCCACAATCCTACCCCCCAAACTACCCCCCAAAACCCCCCCCCCCTCCCCTCCCCCTCTCCCCCTTACCCTCCCCTCCTCTTCTTGTCCCCCCTTCCCCGGGCGATATCTCTCTCGTCTCCTCGCTGTCCCCCCCCGATCCCCCCTCCAACGCCATTGGATCCTGTGCTGCCTAGTGGTAACGGGGTGAGCAGTCCCCTGGTCCTAAACTTGACACCTGGGCCCTTGTATTTCAATAACATTTCCGTGGTGAGGTGGCGTGGGGCGGGCAGCAAGGGGCAGGTGCAGATGGGGGGGGGGGGAGAGAGAGCAATTCGCACGGAGCGGCTTGTACGTTGACTCAAGCGCCCTTATCTTTCCACTTCCCCCTTTCGTGTGTTCTCTCCCCCCAGTGCCCGGTTTCCCTGCAGCTCTCCCCCCAGTGCCCGGTTTCCTGCAGCTCTCCCCCAGTGCCCGGTTTCCCTGCAGCTCTCCCCCAGTGCCCGGTTTCCCTGCAGCTCTCCCCCAGTGCCCGGTTTCCCCTGCAGCTCTCCCCCCAGTGCCCGGTTTCCCTGCAGCTCTTCCCGCACCGCTCTATTTCAAGAACGTCGGCATGGTCAAGTGGCCATTTTTGAGTCAAAACCACCCACCCCGTCCCACCCGTCCCCTCCCTCCACCAGTGCCCGGCTCCCCTGCAGCTCTCCCTGCAGCCCTCTATTTCAAGAACGTTGCCGTGGTCAAGTGGCGGGGGGCGGGCAGCAAGGGGCACGTGCAGTTGCCAGGGGGGAGGGAGGAGCAGGAGGCGGTGCGGGTGCAACTGGTGGAGGTGCTACTGCGGTGCACGCCAGGGAAGATCCTGACCGTGCTTACGGAAGCGGTATGTTATTATGGATCAAGGATGCAGCCACAGTACAGGACGCAGCAAGTGTTACGGGGAACTGGAGAGAACAGATACTGTAGCGGTACGTGCTTGCAGAGGGAGCTAACGTTGTTACACAGAAGGGGGGGAGCAGGAGGTAGTGTGGCGCGGTGCTGTGCAATTTGGTAGAGGTGTTACTGCAGTGCGATTTCGCCCCTCAAGTTAAAACTTTTTTCTTTCCCCTCCCTTCCCCCTCCTCCCCCGCCCCCCCAGTTCTCTGCGGTGGTTCGAACCGAGTTGGCTTCCCCCTCCGGCTGGCCGCAGCTACTCCCAGGGCTGAAAGCGGCCCTGCAGTCCAGTGATCTAATCGAGCCGTTGATTCTGCCTCCGCTGCTCCTGGACCGTCGGATCCTGCTGCAGCCATTCTCTACAGTCACTGTGCTTACAGTCCTTCGTGCCGTCACTAAGCCTTACAGGGTATGTTGACACATCTTAGGAGTGTAGTAGACTGCCAGATTGCTTTTGAGTCAACTCAAGTTATTGACTTAGAGAGTATGTTGAGACATATTAGGAGTGTAGTAGAGTGCCAGATTGCTGTTAATGCAGTCACTGTGCTTGCAGTCCTTCGTGCCGTCACAGGACCATACAGGGTATTAGACATGGGCATGAGCCGAGCCTGGCTCGGCTCGGCTCGTTTGGGGTCGAGCCGGCTCGGCTCGCCGGTCGAGCCGGCTCGGCTCGCCTCGAGCCGGGTCCTCAGGATCCCCGGCTCGGCTCGTGAAAATGGGGTCGAGCCAGGGCCGGCTCGCCGGCGAGCCGGCTCGGCTCGGCTCGTCAGGGGGGCTTGTGCGGGCTCTCAATTGGGGCCACGGGGCTTGGGGTCTCTAGTATAAGGGGATAATCCATATTATTTAGCTGATCGTCTGCTCCTACATCTTGCAAAACTATCAGGAGGAGCTGCCGGTTTAAATATGGCTGGCTGAGGTCGATAGACTAGCGCGATAGGGTGAAAGTTGGGTTGGCAGACAATATTGGCGGGGGGGGGGGGTTTGTCGATCTGAAATTTGACAGTCGCGAAACCCCCCTTTCCCTAGCCGCGAGCCGGCTGGCTCGAAATCGAGCCAGCTCGAGCCGGCTCGACTCCGGCTCGCCTGATTTCACGTGTGCGAGCCGAGCCGAGCCGCCGGCTCGAGTCGAGCCGAGCCGGCTCGACTCGAGTCGAGCCAGGTACCAAAAAAGGAGGCTCGGCTCGCCTTAAAGGCGAGCCGAGCCGAGCCGAGCCAGGCGTGGCTCGGCTTGTGCCCATGTCTACAGGGTATGCTCTTGGGTGCTTTTGACCTCTCTAGAATAGTAGATTCATCTTCTTCCTCTTAACCCAATGGGCCTCCTCCCTCCCTCCCTCCCTCCCTCCCTCCTTCCCTCCCTCCCTGTATCTACGTGGAGTGAAAGTTCCGTGTGACATCTTTGAGTCGACTCAAAATTTAACCCAATAATCCTCCCTCTCCCCGAGTGTCCACCTCTTTCTTTCTCTATCCTCTCCTCCCCCCTCTCTCCCCCCCCCTCCCTTCAGTACTTCCTGGACCCAGCAAGGAGAAGGAGCCCGTGCCGCCAGTGCTGGAACCGATTGTGTGCTGCTAACCTTCTAGGCCCCTCACTACTCCCACCTTTGTTCCCCTCCCACCTTCCCCCCTCCCCCCTCCCTTCAGTACTTCCTGGACCCCAGCAAGGAGAAGGAGCCCGTGCCGCCAGTGCTAGAAACGATCACCTCTGACCTGCTGCTGCCGCTCATGCCGCTCATGCACCACCTCATCACGGCTCAGGTCAGGTGACTCTTTGGGCAGGTGATGTGTGTGCTAGACTATTAGACATGGCATGATAGTGCTGGAGGCGATTGCTCCTCTGACCTGCTGCTGCCCTCATGCCGCTCATGCACCACCTCATCACGGCTCAGGTGATTGCTGGGCAGGCATGGCATTGCTCAGGTGACCGTCTCATGCAGGATCTTATAACGGCTCAGGTGACCGTCTCATGCAGGATCTTATAACGGCTCAGGTGACCGTCTCATGCAGGATCTTATAACGGCTCAGGTGACCGTCTCATGCACGATCTTATAACGGCTCAGGTGACCGTCTCATGCACGATCTTATAACGGCTCAGGTGACCGTCTCATGCACGATCTTATAACGGCTCAGGTGACCGTCTCATGCACGATCTTATAACGGCTCAGGTGACCGTTTCATGCACGATCTTGTAACGGCTCAGGTGACCGTCTCATGCACGATCTTATAACGGCTCAGGTGACCGTCTCATGCACGATCTTATAACGGCTCAGGTGACCGTTTCATGCACGATCTTATAACGGCTCAGGTGACCGTCTCATGCACGATCTTATAACGGCTCAGGTGACCGTCTCACCCACGACACGTTTCTGAATGCAATGAAATGTGCGTCGAATATACAACCTGCTGCCACTCGCCTCATCCCTTACACGTCATTCCTGCAGCATGCACAGGGTTCCTCTCCTACCTCCCTCTGCGTGTGAGTGCTGTCTCGATGCTGCAGGCGCAGCTGTCAAGCCCTCAAGCACCATCACCTCACGACGAAGCCCTCCTGCTCATCCTCAAGACCCTCCACCTCTCGGTGAGTTGGACTACACACACAGACCTTTTGAGAATTCTGAAAAAAACAAACACAGGCTACATGCTTTCAAGTCGACTCGAAAACTGTCGAGCCCTCAAGCACCGTCGCCCCACGATGAAGCCCTCCTGCTCATCCTCAAGACCCTCCACCTCTCGGTAATCCACCCTGGCTTGCCCGAATCCCCCCTCCATCCACCCTTGCCTGAATCCCCCCTCCATCCACCCTTGCCTGAATCCGCCCCTCCGTCAAGCGAGCATCGACAGTATCCTGCTTGCTGCCCTCCAAGCACCACCTGCCTCCCCTATTCCCCCTTCTTATTCAACTATTGCAGGTGCAGAGCCACATGCCAGCCGCCATTCGCAAGAATCTCGATGCCATCGTCCCTGAGCTGCTGCTTCTGCTATCGCACTGCCCGGCAACCCTAGCTGCTGCAGCTGCTGCTGCTGCTGCCGCCGCTCAGGAGGGCATGGAGGGGGGAGGGGGGTCGGCGGAGGGGGGGGCTGTGGTGTGGGAGGTGCGGCTGAAGGCGAGCAAGAGAGCGCTGCAGATCTGCCAAGCGCTGGCGAGCCGGCACCAGAAGCTGGCGAATAAGTGAGTACCGTGTTCCTTCCCGTCCAGCAGGGAAGGGTTTTCAATCATTTAACTCATAATAATCTGATTATGTAGGAGTGTTTGCAGATGTAGAAAATTTCCGAGGCACATCAAGAATCTTCCCAGACTCTTTTTCCTGCCTGTGGTCTTCCTCTGCCCTCTTTCCACCCACCCCTCCTTTTTTGGGGCGTCTCCGAAACTGCCTCTGCTCCTCCTTCGCCCTCAACGAACCCAACCCCCTTCCCTTTCCCTTTCCCTTTCCCCTTCCCTTTCCCCTTTCCCTTTCCCTTTCCCCTTCCCTTTCCCTTTCCCCTTTCACTTTCCCTTTCCCCTTTCCCTTTCCCTTTCCCTTCCCTCCTCATTTTCCATTTTCTCGGCACCTCCCACATTGCTGTGTGCTCTTTCCAGGCACTTTCCCGCCATGGTAGACTCCATCATGGGCATCGTCTGCAATTCTCTGTGGACCAATAAGGTGATGACACGTAGATGGAGCTTTCTGGGCTCCAGTGTTACTGTTACAATGCTGTTTTGTTTTCTCTGGTTTTCTTTTAGATATCTTCTTTTTATATTACGAAAATTCTGCTTTGATGCTGCTTGCAATGCCAGTGATTGGTGTTTATAACAGACGATGTAAAAAGGCTTTCTGTGTTGGTTCTTGTCACCATTCCTGTTATTTTCGCATCCGGAGACCTTCTTTATCCCTTCATCCCTTCCCCCCTTCCCCATTCCCCCCTTCCCCCTTCCCCACTCCCCTTTCCCCCCTTCCCCCTCCCCTTTCCCCCTTTCCCCCCTCCCCCTTCATCCCTCATCTCCACCTCTTGCCAGCTGCCCGTCGTGTATGCAGCCACTGTTGCGTTCTCACTCCTTCACCCCCGCCCCCGTGCCCCCTTCACCCCGCCTCTCCAGCCCTCTTCAGCTGCCCGTCGTGTTGCCGCGGTTGCTTTCAACGCCATCTCGCAAGTGCTCGACTCCGCTCCGGTCAGTCCTCACACGTGCATGCATGCCTGCAAGCCTTATATCGTTACCACCGTTGCTTTCAACGCCATCTCGCAAGTGCTCGACTCCGCTCCGGTCAGTCCTCACACGTGCATGCATGCCTGCAAGCCTTATATCGTTACCGCCGTTGCTTTCAACGTCTTCTCGCAAGTGCTCGACTCCGCTCCGGTCAGTCCTTATGCGATGAGTGTTGAAGCAGTATTGAAGCTTCCGTGATTTTCTGTGCTTGCCGCTGGTTTTGAGTCTACTCAAAAGCAGACCCGCTCCGCTCCGGTCAGTCCTTATGCGATGAGTGTTGAAGCAGTATTGAAGCTTTGGTGCTTTTCTGTGCATGCCGTTGCTTTGAGTCAACTCAAAACCAGACCCCGCCCTGGTCTGCCCTCACTCCAGTGTTGAAGAGGCATTGAAAGCTTCGTTTTGAGGCGCCTCAAAACTAGACACTGCTGCTCCCTTCTATCATGGCTAACATCACTCCAGTGTTGAAGAGGTATTGAAAGCTTCGTTCGATGCTATCTGTGATTGGTGGCCTTTGAGGCGCCCCCAAGAAGATGGCTGTCTCTCGTGCATGCTGCACCATTGCGTCGCATGCATGCTGCACCATTGTCAAGACTCAAATCACGTGCGCCGAAGGTGGTGCCTTCTCAGTAACCTTTCTCTACGCCCTATGCCTCGTGCCTGCAGGACTGGAAGGTGGTGGCTCCCAACTTCGCCCATCTGCTTGAGTCGGCTTTCAGACGTCTCAAATCTAAATGTCTATCACACAAATGCCTCCGTGCCTGCAGGGTTGGAAGGTGGTGGCTCCCAACTTCTCTCATCTGCTTGAGTCGGCTTTCAGACGTCTCAAATCTAAATGTCTATCACACAAATGCCTCCGTGCCTGCAGGGTTGGAAGGTGGTGGCTCCCAACTTCGCGCCATCTGCTTGAGTCGGCTTTCAGACGTCTCAAATCTAAATGTCTATCACACAAATGCCTCCGTGCCTGCAGGGTTGGAAGGTGGTGGCTCCCAACTTCGCCCATCTGCTTGAGTCGGCTTTCAGACGTCTCAAATCTAAATGTCTATCACACAAATGCCTCCGTGCCTGCAGGGTTGGAAGGTGGTGGCTCCCAACTTCTCTCATCTGCTTGAGTCGGCTTTCAGACGTCTCAAATCTAAATGTCTATCACACAAATGCCTCCGTGCCTGCAGGGTTGGAAGGTGGTGGCTCCCAACTTCTCTCATCTGCTTGAGTCGGCTTTCAGACGTCTCAAATCTAAATGTCTATCACACAAATCCTTCCGTGCCTGCAGGGTTGGAAGGTGGTGGCTCCCAACTTCGCCCATCTGCTTGAGTCGGCCATCTTCCCCGTGCTTTGCCTGCGCCCCACGTGAGTCCTCATGAGCATGAGGATCTCAAGACCTCATGAGCACAATTGTGTACATTCCATCTGCTTGAGCCTGTCAGTCACGCACCCTGCTCTGCACTGCACCCCCACCCCACCCCACGTGAGTCATTCCTAGTTTCAGCACTCAGGGTAAGTTGATCCTAAGAAAAAGGATTCCCCTTTTATTCTTCCTTCTCACATGCCTTCGGGCGGCAGGATTTGGAGCTGTGGGATGAGGACGAGGAGGAGTATGTACTACGGAATCTACCCACAGATTTAGTGAGTGGCGTTATTCTTATAGAATATTATATTTATACATTTTTTTTTAACTACTGCATTCAAAAAGGGGTGTTTTTGTTTAGCACATTCCATGTGTCAGCAGCAGCGTCAACGATTTTGATACCACTAGTAGTAACACACCTTGAATCTTCCTATCATTCTCTTTCTATTTCTCTCGCTCTTCCTTCCCACCACCTCCCTCCCCACCCCACCTCCCCCCCCTCCCCCCCCCTGGGCACGAGCAGGATGACTTGGATGAGATTGACAGCTATGATCCACGGCAGTGTGCTGCTCACCTGCTGGCGCTCATTGCCACTTCCAAGGTACTGATGCGCAGGCGCGCGTACTGTTGCGCAGGCACGCACACATTCACTGGGAACACACACGAGCATGCATGCGTGCAACACATTCACCTACTGGCACTCATTGCTGCTCCCAAGGTAATGCCTTTGGGAGCCCACATGAACACACACACACCATGCTTATGCGCGCACACACACACACTGTCACACGGAACAAGGGCACGCCAGAAGCAGCAGCTTCTTTTTCATCTCCTAGTGCCCCACTTCACCTTCATTCATCCCCCCTTCCCTCCCCCCTCAACCCCTCCCTCGTCCCCACCTCCCCCCCCCTTCCCCCCACCGCCCCTCAACAGGGCAGCCCAGCCAAGGGCAAGCCGGGAGCAGCAGCCGCACCCTCCAAGTCGACTTCACCAGCAGCAGGCAGAAGGAGACAGAGACGGCCGGCCGCCACTAAGGACACGGATGCAGCAGCTGCCACTGTGGTGCTTCCTTTCCTCTCCAGGTGTGTTTTGTTGATTTGTTGGAAGATTGAAAGAGACTGAGGACACAGGTAGGAGGGGACGAAGAAGGCCGGCCGCTAATAAGGATACGGATGCAGCAGCTGCCACTGGCATGCTTCCTTTCCTCTCCAGGTGTTTTTTGTCAATATGCCATACTCATCCCCACGGACTGCTATGCTATGGGTTCCATTGCTCCTTTCAAGCAAACAGCCGCCTGCCTTTTCCAGGTGTCTTTTTTGTAAGAATGAGAGATTGCGTTTGTTCAACTTCCCTGCGACACAAAAGGGACTGACGTGTTTCAGCATTCCCTGCGGTGTTTCCTTACCTGTCTAGGTTCGCCGTACCGGCCGATGCTGCAGTCCCGTTGGACGGCATGTTTGCGCCGGGGGAAGGGGGCGGCTGGCTCCTGCGGATGCAGCCAGTGCTGCTGTCGTCCAGTGAGTTTGGCTTGGCTTGGGGTCCTTTTCCATCCTCCATCCCTCCCTTGTTCTCTCCTGTGCCTCTCTCCTGTGACAACGTAGACCTTCTGTGGCCTCCTCCCCCTCCTTTGGCTCCGTCTGTGCTCCTGTGCTCATCTCACTGCGTTACAAGCACGTGCTGCTACTATGAAAGGAGTATCATGCTCTTCCTCTATGTCTCGCTCACCCCCTCCACCCGTCTTACCATGTGCTCGTGTGTGCCTATCTGCCGACCCACGGCAGCTACTTCGGTGCCCTGCACTGCAAGCACATGCTCCCATGAACGGAGTATCCATCCCTTCTGTGCCTCCCCTTTCCTCCCCCCCCTCCCGTTCTCCCTTCGCCAACCTGTGTGCTCCTCATGTGGTGCGATCCCACCCCATGGCATGGCAGCTACTTTGGCGTCCTGCAAGCGTATGCTGCCATGAAAGAGGTGCACCCTCTTTCTCCTCCAGTCCAGTCCAGCCTCGTTTTGAGCAACCTTTGAGGCGTCTCAAACTGCCCTGCAAGCATATGCTGCCATGAAAGGGGTGCACCCTTCTATCTAGCCTCGTCTTGCTTTTCCCCGAACGCCCATTCTCCTCTCCGGATCCCATCGTTTCTCCTCTCCCTTAGTTTCTCATCCTCTCCTCCAATGCCCCTCCCCCCCCCTCCCTTCCTCAGTACTGCCAGCCAGGTCGCTACCAGCGCGTGAAACCTACCCCACCTTCCCCCCTGCCCCCTCCCTCCCCTCCCTTCCCTCCGGTAGTACTTTGAGCGGCAGCCCGTCAGCTGGAGCAACTGCTGCCAGTGCGCGTTCTGTCTCTCTTCGCGCAGCGCCACGTCAGCGCCGTCCTACTGGCCTCTGCCACGTGGCTGCTGGGAGAGCTCTCTGCCGCCCTGCCAGAGGTGAGGACTGTCCGATGATAATAATCCAGCTCAGAGATTTTATCGTGCATCAAAGGATCATATCGTATCATATCATATCGTCTGTGTCGTGAGACGCCCAGGACTCCTCCAGTCCAGTCCAGTCCAATCCAGTCCAGGGTCACCAGTTAGTGAGTTTGGGTCCCTTGTCGGTCCGACCGACGTGGCAGTTTAGTGTACCCTGTACTCAAAAACTACTCACCTGGATGTCAATTACGGGTGCATGGTGGTACAACCTTCATTAGGTATTCAGTTCAGTTTCCATGCTGGATGATGCCGGAGTGCTGCCTCAGGGCGGTTCAATGATCCGAATGATGCCTCAGGGCGCATTTGGGTAGATACCTCAACCAACTCTTACTTGGATAGGAAAGGGTGCATGTTCTGTGGAAGTGATTTCGGCTGTTTGTCCTCGGGCCGTCCACTTCCCTTCGTTCCCTCCCTTACCTTCACCGCCTTCGTATTGCAGTCGTGTTTGTTCTCTTCTCCAATTTCCCTCACATTCCCGTCAGTCAGTCTCTGCCACGCTCCTGTCTACCAAGCGAGCATGAAGGCCTTGGCAGCGGGGGACGTGGACAGGCAATCTTTGTTCCTTAACCTCACTTCCCCCCCCTCCGCCCTCCTCTCTGCCCCTTCTCCGTCAGTCTCTGCACGCCCCTGTGTACGGGGCGACCATGAAGGCCATGGCAGCGGGGGCTGTCAACAGTCAACCTTACTCTTCCTCCCCGCCCGTTTCCCTCCTCCCGTCCCCTCCCCCTCCCCGCCAGTCCCCTGCACGCCCCTGTGTACGGGGCGACCATGAAGGCCATGGCAGCGGGGGCTGTCAACAGTCAACCTTACTCTTCCTCCCCGCCCGTTTCCCTCCTCCCGTCCCCTCCCCCTCCCCGCCAGTCCCTGCACGCCCCTGTGTACGGGGCGACCATGAAGGCCATGGCAGCGGGGACGTGGACGGGCAGTCGTGGGCCGTGGTGCGCACTGCGGCCTCTCATGCCGTCTCCTACTTCATCCAGGTCAGCTACTTTCTTATCCAGGTCAGCTTCTTTGGTATCCAGGTCAGCTCCCTCTTCATCCAAGTCAGATCCTTTCTTATCCAGGTCCACTGGCCACGCATCCCTCGTCGTTATTCCCTTTGTTTCGTTCTGACGCGCCTCGAAGTCCTCATTTTACGTCCTCATTTTTTGTTCCCTGTACTGTACCTTGGTTACGACCTTTGTAAAAGTCAAAATCAGATCATAAATCACTAGAACGACATGGAGCCGATCAGACGGCTCCAGAACGACATGCAATGCAACCTTTCCTCCCTTCCCTTCCTCGCGTGTACCTCCATCCCTCCATCCCTCCATCCCTCTCTCATCCAGAATGACGTGGAGCCATCCGATTGGCTGGCGTTTCTTCAAGCCATAGTAGCAGCAACAAGGGCAGCAGAGGAGAGCGAGGCAGTGAGGGCTCTGGACCTGTTGGGAGTCAGTGGCGGTGGAGGGGGGGAGGGCGTGCACGTGCACCTGCCAGCCATTATTGATGCGGTGGCCAATGACACGTGTGCTGCTCTGCCACCCCAAGACCAGCCCTGGTCTCAGGTAGGAATCAGGTGGCTACAGTGCTGCAGAGCTGGTGCGGTTGCAGCAGGGAGAGTGGCGTCTGTCCCTTCGCGCCAGTGAGGGCTCTTGACTTGACCTGTTGGAGTCAGTGGCAGTGGAGGGGGGGAGGGCATGCACGTGCACGTGCACCTGCCAACTACTATTGACGCTGTGGCCAATGACATGTGCGTTGCCCTGCTGCCTCAAGACCAGCCGTGGTCGCAGGTACGAGTCCAACTGTCATGACTCATGGGTGTCACGGGATGGGAGCCCACCATTGAGAGTTATAGGTAGGCAGGTATGTACAGGCCGCAGAGGAGGGGGAGGCAGTGAGGGGCTCTTGACCTGTTGGAGACAGTGGCGGTGGAGGGGGGAAGGGTGACTTTTGAGTTGACTCAAAGGACAGTGGCGGTAGAGGGTGAAGGGCGTGCGCTGCGCTGCGGTGGAAGGGGGGGAAGGGGGAAGGGGGGGAGGGGGGAGGGGGGGGAGGGGGGGGGGGAAGGGGGGGGAGGGAGGGGAGGGGGAGGGGAGGGGGGAGGGGAGGGGAGGGGGGGAGGGGGGAGGGGGGGAGGGGGAGGGGGAAAAGGGGGAAGGGGGAAGGGGGGAGGGGGGGGGGGGAGGGGGAGGGGGGAAGGGGGGAGGGGGAGGGGGCAAGGGGGGAGGGGGAGGGGGGAGGTGGAGAGGGGGAAGGGGGAAGGGCGTGCGCATACCCACTTGCCAGCTGTAATCGACACTGTGGCGAATGACACGTGCGTTGCTCTGCCACCTCAAGACGAGCCCTGGTCGGAGGTACAAACGAATCAGTAACAGGCAGACACAGGGTCGCATGTGCAGACAGGTGATAGGTAGGTACGATACACCGACCCAGGTGGCATATGAGGGGAGGCAGTGAGGGCTCTGGACGTTCAGGAGTCAGCGGCTGGCAGTGAGGGCTCTGGACCATCTAGAGTCAGTGGCAGTGGAGGGGGGGAAGGGCGTGCAACCCGCTGCAGGAAGGGCCTGCCAGCTATTATCGCTGCAATGGCTAATGACACCTGATTTGCTCTGCCTCCTCTTTTTGAGGCGCCTCAAATATGGAGGCTGTTGACACCTGTTCTGCTCTGCCTCCTCTGCTTGAGGCACCCTCAGAAATAGAGGCTATTGATGCCTGTTTTGCTCTGCCTCCTCAAAACAGTTACGGTTTTCTCGTGTGTGGCCAGGGGGAAGTTTTGAGTCGACCCAAACAGCTGCCAGGGGAAGGGACCGCTGCCCTTTGATGGTCCACAGTCCACGCCCTCCCCCCCTCATTCCCCACCCTCCCTCCCCCCTGTTCCTCCATTCCTCCCTCAGCACGCATGGGCGCTCTTCTCTGCCCTGGTCTCTCTGGTCGAGTCGTGGGGCCGATGACGAGCTGCCAGGGGGAGGGCCTGCTGCCTTTTGATAGTCCTCTCCCTTCCCCCCATTCCCCCCCCATTCCCCCCCATTCCCCCCCATTCCCCCCCATTCCCCCCCATTCCCCCCATTCCCCCCCATTCCCCCCCATTCCCCCCATTCCCCCCCATTCCCCCCATTCCCCCCCATTCCCCGCCATTGCCCCCCATTCCCCCCCCATTTCCCCCCCATTCCCCCCCATCCCCCCCATTCCCCCCATTCCCCCCCATTCCCCGCCATTGCCCCCCCCCCCCTGTTCCTCCTTTCCTCACTCAGCGTGTGTGGGCGCTCTTCTCAGCGCTGGCGTCTCTGGTCGAGTCATGGGCCGATGACGAGCTGCCAGGGGGAGAGGACGAGGAGGAGGTGGAGGAAGGCGAGGAGAGGGAGGGGAGGGAGGGAGCAGGGACGGAGGAGCGGAATCGGAGGGGCGGTGGAAGTGGCAGCGTCTGTGGCGCGGGTGCTCAGAGTGGCATGGCTGAATGAGCCGGTGAGTGTTCAGTGAATTCTCCTGTCCTTTTTTCCACCATCACCTGATGCCATTGCTGCCATAAGGCAGTGCAGGTGGCACCATCTGTTGCTCGAGTGCTCAGAGTAGCATTAGCTGAAAGAGCCAGCGAGTGAGTTTTTGTGGTTAAGCTTTTTGTTGGATCGTGAACCGGTGAGTGGTTTTTCATGAGCGGTTAATGTACCACTGACTTCCAGGTTCTAACACAGGCGAAAGGTGCGCAAGGCGGCCAGGGTCACCGCCACCACTGGAACTTTCACATGCACTCCCGGTACTGGTGGTACCATTACTTTTATATCAGTCCCGGTACGTTTTGCACTCAAAAGTCACCTCACTCCCGGTACTGGTGCCAGTGCTTTTATCTAGTTGACTCAAAAGTTACCTCACTCCCGATACTGGTGCCGGTGCTTTTACCTAGTTGACTCAAAAGCCACCTCACTCCCGGTGCCGATGCCAGTATCAACAGGGGCTCTGCCAGGGTCACCTCTCCGCCACTGGAACTTTTGCATGCACTTCTGGTGCTCACACCGATACCGATACCGATACCGATACCGATACCGATACCGATACCGATACCAGTATCGGCAGGGGCTCCGCCAGGGTCACCACCGGCGCCGGCCCGTGCTCGGCATCCTCCTCACTCTCTCCGCCTCTTGCCCTCAAAGAAGCTGATCGCCTTCCTCGCTGTGCACTCTTCCTCTGCCTTCCTCCACTCCTCCCTCTTTCACCTTAGCTCCTTTCTCGTTGCTCTCAGACACCTCAGAACGTGCTCCTCAGAACTTGCTCCTCAGAACTTGCTCCTCAGAACGTGCTCCTCAGAACGTGCTCCTCAGAACGTGCTCCTCAGAACGTGCTCCTCAGAACTTGCTCCTCAGAACGTGCTCCTCAGAACGTGCTCCTCAGAACTTGCTCCTCAGAACGTGCTCCTCAGAACTTGCTCCTCAGAACGTGCTCCTCAGAACTTGCTCCTCAGAACTTGCTCCTCAGAACTTGCTCCTCAGAACGTGCTCCTCAGAACTTGCTCCTCAGAACTTGCTCCTCAGAACTTGCTCCTCAGAACTTGCTCCTCAGAACTTGCTCCTCAGAACGTGCTCCTCAGAACGTGCTCCTCAGAACGTGCTCCTCAGAACTTGCTCCTCAGAACGTGCTCCTCAGAACGTGCTCCTCAGAACTTGCTCCTCAGAACGTGCTCCTCAGAACTTGCTCCTCAGAACGTGCTCCTCAGAACGTGCTCCTCAGAACTTGCTCCTCAGAACTTGCTCCTCAGAACTTGCTCCTCAGAACTTGCTCCTCAGAACTTGCTCCTCAGAACTTGCTCCTCAGAACTTGCTCCTCAGAACTTGCTCCTCAGAACGTGCTCCTCAGAACTTGCTCCTCAGAACTTGCTCCTCAGAACGTGCTCCTCAGAACTTGCTCCTCAGAACTTGCTCCTCAGAACTTGCTCCTCAGAACGTGCTCCTCAGAACGTGCTCCTCAGAACGTGCTCCTCAGAACGTGCTCCTCAGAACGTGCTCCTCAGAATCTGCTCCTCAGAACTTGCTCCTCAGAACGTGCTCCTCAGAACGTGCTCCTCAGAACTTGCTCCTCAGAACTTGCTCCTCAGAACGTGCTCCTCAGAACTTGCTCCTCAGAACTTGCCTCCTCAGAACTTGCTCCTCAGAACGTGCTCCTCAGAACGTGCTCCTCAGAACGTGCTCCTCAGAACGTTGCTCCTCAAGAACGTGCTCCTCAGAACGTGCTCCTCAGAACTTGCTCCTCAGAACTTGCTCCTCAGAACGTGCTCCTCAGAACGTGCTCCTCAGAACTTGCTCCTCGAACGTCAGAACGTGCTCCTCAGAACTTGTCCTCAGAACTGCTCTCAGAACGTGCTCCTCAGAACTTGCTCCTCAGAACTTGCTCCTCAGAACGTGCTCCTCAGAACTTGCTCCTCAGAACGTGCTCCTCAGAACGTGCTCCTCAGAACTTGCTCCTCAGAACTTGCTCCTCAGAACGTTCCTCAGAACTTGCTCCTCAGAACGTGCTCCTCAGAACGTGCTCCTCAGAACTTGCTCCTCAGAACGTGCTCCTCAGAACGTGCTCCTCAGAACTTGCTCCTCAGAACGTGCTCCTCAGAACTTGCTCCTCAGAACTTGCTCCTCAGAACGTGCTCCTCAGAACGTGCTCCTCAGAACGTGCTCCTCAGAATCTGCTCCTCAGAACTTGCTCCTCAGAACGTGCTCCTCAGAACGTGCTCCTCAGAACTTGCTCCTCAGAACTTGCTCCTCAGAACTTGCTCCTCAGAACGTGCTCCTCAGAACGTGCTCCTCAGAACGTGCTCCTCAGAACTTGCTCCTCAGAACTTGCTCCTCAGAACGTGCTCCTCAGAATCTGCTCCTCAGAACTTGCTCCTCAGAACGTGCTCCTCAGAACTTGCTCCTCAGAACTTGCTCCTCAGAACTTGCTCCTCAGAACTTGCTCCTCAGAACGTGCTCCTCAGAACTTGCTCCTCAGAACGTGCTCCTCAGAACTTGCTCCTCAGAACGTGCTCCTCAGAACTTGCTCCTCAGAACGTGCTCCTCAGAACTTGCTCCTCAGAACTTGCTCCTCAGAACTTGCTCCTCAGAACGTGCTCCTCAGAACTTGCTCCTCAGAACGTGCTCCTCAGAACTTGCTCCTCAGAACGTGCTCCTCAGAACGTGCTCCTCAGAACTTGCTCCTCAGAACGTGCTCCTCAGAACTTGCTCCTCAGAACTTGCTCCTCAGAACGTGCTCCTCAGAACTTGCTCCTCAGAACGTGCTCCTCAGAACTTGCTCCTCAGAACGTGCTCCTCAGAACGTGCTCCTCAGAACTTGCTCCTCAGAACTTGCTCCTCAGAACTTGCTCCTCAGAACTTGCTCCTCAGAACGTGCTCCTCAGAATCTGCTCCTCAGAACTTGCTCCTCAGAACGTGCTCCTCAGAACTTGCTCCTCAGAACTTGCTCCTCAGAACTTGCTCCTCAGAACGTGCTCCTCAGAACTTGCTCCTCAGAACGTGCTCCTCAGAACTTGCTCCTCAGAACGTGCTCCTCAGAACTTGCTCCTCAGAACGTGCTCCTCAGAACGTGCTCCTCAGAACTTGCTCCTCAGAACGTGCTCCTCAGAACGTGCTCCTCAGAACGTGCTCCTCAGAACTTGCTCCTCAGAACGTGCTCCTCAGAACTTGCTCCTCAGAACTTGCTCCTCAGAACTTGCTCCTCAGAACTTGCTCCTCAGAACTTGCTCCTCAGAACTTGCTCCTCAGAACTTGCTCCTCAGAACTTGCTCCTCAGAACTTGCTCCTCAGAACTTGCTCCTCAGAACTTGCTCCTCAGAACGTGCTCCTCAGAACTTGCTCCTCAGAACTTGCTCCTCAGAACTTGCTCCTCAGAACGTGCTCCTCAGAACTTGCTCCTCAGAACTTGCTCCTCAGAACTTGCTCCTCAGAACGTGCTCCTCAGAACTTGCTCCTCAGAACTTGCTCCTCAGAACTTGCTCCTCAGAACTTGCTCCTCAGAACTTGCTCCTCAGAACTTGCTCCTCAGAACGTGCTCCTCAGAACGTGCTCCTCAGAACGTGCTCCTCAGAACGTGCTCCTCAGAACTTGCTCCTCAGAACTTGCTCCTCAGAACTTGCTCCTCAGAACTTGCTCCTCAGAACGTGCTCCTCAGAATCTGCTCCTCAGAACTTGCTCCTCTACGCTCCTCAGAATGTCAGAACGTGCTCCTCAGAACTGCTCCTCAGAACTTGCTCCTCAGAACTTGCTCCTCAGAACTTGCTCCTCAGAACTTGCTCCTCAGAACTTGCTCCTCAGAACGTGCTCCTCAGAACTTGCTCCTCAGAACGTGCTCCTCAGAACTTGCTCCTCAGAACGTGCTCCTCAGAACTTGCTCCTCAGAACGTGCTCCTCAGAACGTGCTCCTCAGAACGTGCTCCTCAGAACTTGCTCCTCAGAACGTGCTCCTCAGAACTTGCTCCTCAGAACGTGCTCCTCAGAACTTGCTCCTCAGAACTTGCTCCTCAGAACTTGCTCCTCAGAACTTGCTCCTCAGAACTTGCTCCTCAGAACTTGCTCCTCAGAACGTGCTCCTCAGAACGTGCTCCTCAGAACGTGCTCCTCAGAACGTGCTCCTCAGAACTTGCTCCTCAGAACTTGCTCCTCAGAACTTGCTCCTCAGAACTTGCTCCTCAGAACGTGCTCCTCAGAATTCTGCTCCTATCCTCAGAACTTGCGCTCCTCAGAACGTGCTCTCCTCAGAACTTGCTCCTCAGAACTTGCTCCTCAGAAACTTGCTCCTCAGAACGTGCTCCTCAGAACTTGCTCCTCAGAACGTGCTCCTCAGAACTTGCTCCTCAGAACGTGCTCCTCAGAAACTTGCTCCTCAGAACGTGCTCCTCAGAACGTGCTCCTCAGAACGTGGCTCCTCAGAACTTGCTCCTCAGAACGTGCTCCTCAGAACTTGCTCCTCAGAACTTGCTCCTCAGAACTTGCTCCTCAGAACTTGCTCCTCAGAACTTGCTCCTCAGAACGTGCTCCTCAGAATCTGCTCCTCAGAACTTGCTCCTCAGAACGTGCTCCTCAGAACTTGCTCCTCAGAACTTGCTCCTCAGAACTTGCTCCTCAGAACGTGCTCCTCAGAACTTGCTCCTCAGAACGTGCTCCTCAGAACTTGCTCCTCAGAACGTGCTCCTCAGAACTTGCTCCTCAGAACGTGCTCCTCAGAACGTGCTCCTCAGAACTTGCTCCTCAGAACTTGCTCCTCAGAACTTGCTCCTCAGAACTTGCTCCTCAGAACTTGCTCCTCAGAACTTGCTCCTCAGAACTTGCTCCTCAGAACTTGCTCCTCAGAACGTGCTCCTCAGAACTTGCTCCTCAGAACGTGCTCCTCAGAACTTGCTCCTCAGAACGTGCTCCTCAGAACGTGCTCCTCAGAACGTGCTCCTCAGAACTTGCTCCTCAGAACGTGCTCCTCAGAACTTGCTCCTCAGAACTTGCTCCTCAGAACTTGCTCCTCAGAACTTGCTCCTCAGAACTTGCTCCTCAGAACGTGCTCCTCAGAACTTGCTCCTCAGAACTTGCTCCTCAGAACTTGCTCCTCAGAACGTGCTCCTCAGAACTTGCTCCTCAGAACGTGCTCCTCAGAACTTGCTCCTCAGAACGTGCTCCTCAGAACTTGCTCCTCAGAACGTGCTCCTCAGAACGTGCTCCTCAGAACGTGCTCCTCAGAACTTGCTCCTCAGAACGTGCTCCTCAGGAAACTTGCTCCTCAGAACTTGCTCCTCAGAACTTGCTCCTCAGAACGTGCTCCTCAGAAGAGAACTTGCTCCTCAGAACGTGCTCCTCAGAACGTGCTCCTCAGAACTTGCTCCTCAGAACGTGCTCCTCAGAACTTGCTCCTCAGAACGTGCTCCTCAGAACGTGCTCCTCAGAACTTGCTCCTCAGAACTTGCTCCTCAGAACTTGCTCCTCAGAACTTGCTCCTCAGAACTTGCTCCTCAGAACTTGCTCCTCAGAACTTGCCTCCTCAGAACTTGCTCCTCAGAACGTGCTCCTCAGAACTTGCTCCTCAGAACGTGCTCCTCAGAACTTGCTCCTCAGAACGTGCTCCTCAGAACGTGCTCCTCAGAACGTGCTCCTCAGAACTTGCTCCTCAGAACGTGCTCCTCAGAACTTGCTCCTCAGAACTTGCTCCTCAGAACTTGCTCCTCAGAACTTGCTCCTCAGAACTTGCTCCTCAGAACGTGCTCCTCAGAATCTGCTCCTCAGAACTTGCTCCTCAGAACGTGCTCCTCAGAACTTGCTCCTCAGAACGTGCTCCTCAGAACTTGCTCCTCAGAACGTGCTCCTCAGAACGTGCTCCTCAGAACGTGCTCCTCAGAACTTGCTCCTCAGAACGTGCTCCTCAGAACTTGCTCCTCAGAACTTGCTCCTCAGAACTTGCTCCTCAGAACGTGCTCCTCAGAACTTGCTCCTCAGAACTTGCTCCTCAGAACGTGCTCCTCAGAACTTGCTCCTCAGAACTTGCTCCTCAGAACGTGCTCCTCAGAACTTGCTCCTCAGAACGTGCTCCTCAGAACTTGCTCCTCACCGCCTTTCAGCATTCCTCAGCAGCGCTTTCCTCACCTCTTCTACCTACCAGTATTCCGCACCTAACAGCCACTCACTTCCTTGTTCTCCCCCCCCCCCCATCAGGTCGATCCATCACTCGCAGCATCAGCACTGGCAGCTACAAGGAGCAAGGCAGCGAGGAGGGCAAGGAGCCACCCCCCCCCTCATGGTTCGACACCTCTCTGCTGCTCTCCTTCCTTCTCCGAACCCCCCGTTCCTGTTCTTCTCTCCCCTCCCTCCCCTCCCATCCCCTCCCCCTCCCCCTCCCCCCCACCTCAGGTAGATCCATCCCTCTTGAAGACCCAGCCATCAGTCGCACCAGCATCAGAGCAAGGGGAGGACAAGGAGCCGCCCCCCACCTCGTGGTTCGACGCCTCTCTGCTGCTCTCCTTCGTGCTCAAAGCCGCTGCCAACGTTCCCTCCTCATCCTCCTCCTCCGTCCCTGCTGCTACAACCGCTGCTGCTACAACCGCTGCTGCTGCTACAACCGCTGCTGCTACAGCTGGTGCTGCAGCAGCGGATGCAGTGGTGCTGGTGGGGCAGTGGCAGGTGGTGCCCCTGTTGGACAAGTGGGTGGAGCTGATTGCAGAGTGGACGGCTTGGGAGGAGGATGAGGACGAGGCGGTGTTCCAGACCATCGATTCTCTGCTTCTGTTGAACGTGAGTATGCTCTTCTCTTCTTGAGGCATTGCTGGACACGTGGGTGGAGAAAGTTGAGGTGCCTCAATCTAGACTTCTTGAGCCACTGGTTGACTCGTGGGTGGAGCTGATTGCTGAATGGACAGCATGAGAGCAGGATGAGCACGAGCAGTGTTTCAAGCCTTTGACGCTGTGCTGCCGCTACACGTGAATGGTATTCTCTTAGTATTCTCTGCTATTCTTTTAGTATTCTCTTAGTATTCTCTTCTTATTCTCTTAGTATTCTCTTAGTATTCTCTTCTTATTCTCTTAGTATTCTCTTAGTGTTCTCTTCTTATTCTCCTAGTATTCTCTTCTTATTCTCTTAGTATTCTCTTAGTATTCTCTTCCTTTGTCGTTGCTCAACAAGCGCATGCAAAACATAACATAGACAAGACTCTGGTGGGGCAGTGGAGGAAGCTCTGCTGGACAAGCGGGTGGATCTGATTGCTGAATGCGCCTTTCTTTTGTGCTCCTCAAGAAGATCAAACGTGTAGAAAAGTAGACTCGATGTGCATAGCTGGAAGATGCACAAGTTGGAGATGGTAAAGATATGTTCCAAGAGGAGTCCCAGAAAGTGTAAGACAAAAGGGTAAATAAAGATGACAAAGATATTGGGCTAAGTAGGCCCAGATTGTGGTGAAGAGAGAGATGGAGAAGTGTGGGCGACTTGGGCTGGTCCAGGTGAGGAGAATGGCACCCAAGAGACTTGGGGTGCCCAATTGGGTGCTCAAGTCGCCCACAGTCAAGGTGGGGACGTGAGGAACCCTCAAAGTGGGCCTGGAAGCGCCCCCACTAGTGGAACCGCGATTCCACAAGTTGGATTCGTGGTTCCACAAGCTGGAGCCGCGTTTTCATGGTTGAGAAACGTGGGTCCAGGTTGGAGCCGCGTCCCAAATGTTGGGATGCGTGGTGAGGTACCCCAATTCGGATTTTGGGGTGCCTAGCCTTTGATAAAATCACTTGGGGGGCACCCTATTCCTAATATAAGCTAACCACTAATGTCTACACCTAATATAATGTAACACATTACACATAATAGAGAAATGTACTAAGTTGACTACATCCCAGATAAAAGCCTAAAACAGATACTCAACAACACCCCCCCTTAGGGTGACACCAAGGGAGAGTCTCGGGAAGAAGAGGCAGGGCGTAGGCCAATGCAGGACCGGAGACGCTGAAAAGTGTCACGGGAAAGAGGCTTGGTACCGAGATCAGCAAGGTTGTCATGAGTAGGCACATAGTGCAGTGAGATATGGCCCTTGTGAACGTGATCACGGAGGAAATGATGTCGGATGTCAATGTGCTTGGCACGGGCATGGAAGACACCAGCGTCCTTGGCCAAGACAATGGCGCTTGTGTTGTCACAGATCAAAGGGGTGGGACCAGCGGGGGAAGTCCAAGGGAGGTGAGGAGAGTGCGGAGCCAAAGAGCTTCATGGGCTGCCGCACCAAGCGCATAGTATTCGGCCTCACAAGAGGACGTGGCCACCACACATTGCCTCTTGGATTGCCAGGAGATGAGGGAAGGACCAAGAAAAAAGAGATAGGTAGTGAGGGAACGGCGATCCTCACTTTCGGAGGCCCATGAAGCATCACAGTAGCCGATGAGGTGGAGGGAGGAGGGATTGCCACCAAGCAGTAAACCATGGGAAGATGTTCCCTTGAGGTAGCGGAGAGCACGTTTGGCAGCCAGCCAATGAGGGTCGGACCATGAGTGGAGGTGACGGGAGAGAAGGCCAGTGGAGTGGGCGATGTCAGGACGAGTAGCGACCATGGCGTACATGAGAGAGCCAACCAAGGAGGGATATGGGACGGTTTGAGATGGCGGTGAAGAGGGGTGGGAAGGGAGGAGGAGCTTAGAGTCCATGGGGGTATGGCTGGGGTTGGAATGGGAGAGCGAATAGGTGGATAGGAGCGCAGCAATAAATTTGGACTGGTGGGCATGGAGAGTGCGGGAAGAGCGGTCGCGGTCTAGGTGGAGGCCGAGGTAATAGGTGAGGGGGCCGAGGTCACGGAGTTTAAAGCGACTGGCCAGAGACGTCTTGAAGGTGGTAAGGGGTGCAAGAGTGGTAGATAGGATGATGAGGTCGTCCACGTAGACAAGGACGAAGAAGTGGGATGGATGAGGGAGGAGAGGTGAAGAGGAGGCGGTGATGAAGAGGCCAGGGTCAGCGTCGGAGGTGTGAAGGCCAAAGGAGAGAAGCTCCTCTTTCAGCTTTTTGTACCAGCAGCGGGGCGCTTGTTTGAGGTCATATAGGGGCTTGTGCAGCAAACAAACTTGAGGAGAGCCATCAGGAGCAGTGAGCTCGAAGCCGGGGGGTTGAGTCATGTAGATGAGCTCGTCAAGATCGCCGTTGAGAAAGGCATTGGAGATGTCGAGCTGATGCATCTCAAGATCAAGAGCGGCAGCAAGGGTGAGGAGCAAGCGGAGCGTGGCAAAGCGAATGGTAGGTGCAAAAGTCTCCGTGTAGTCGATGCCTTCACGTTGCTTGAAGCCTTTGACCACCAAGCGAGCCTTATAACGCTCAATGGACCCATTTGGGTTTTCTTTGACCTTGAACACCCACTTGCAAGGTATGGGGGTGCAGCCGGGTGGCGTGGGCACAATGCTGTAAGTGTTGTTGGCGAGGAGAGCAGCGATTTCGGCATCAGCAGCGGCTAGCCAGTGGGGAGCAGCAGGGCAATAACGGGCGGCTATGATGGTAGCGGGCTCGTAGTGGGAATGAAGGGCTATGTGTGCAAAATCGTGAAGGAAATGGGTGGACGCGCGATCTTCAGCAAGGATGGTTCGAGAGGAAGGATCGGGAAAGGTGAGGTGAAAGTCTTGGGCGTCTGGTGATGGAAGATAGGGAAAGGGAAGGGGTGAGGAAGAAGGTAGAGAGGCGGGCTGGAGGAAGGATGGAAGCGTGTAAGGCTGAAGGGATGGGGTGGGGAGGGTGGGGAAGGGAGATGCAGCGGGAGTGGAAGTGGGAGAGATAGCTCCGGGAGGTGGAGGAGGCGGGTGCGAGGTGGCAGGGGTGATGGAAGTGGTAGGCTGGGAAGACGGGTGAAGGGGAAAAGATATGGTGGTGGGAGTGGGGCGGAAGGTGGGGGTGGTGACGGTTGCGGAGAAGGAGGTGGTGAAGGGGATGTTTCAAGGAAAGTGACATCGCGGGAGTAGACCACGCGGCGAAGGGAAGGGACGTAAATGCGATATGCTTTGTAACCGTCAAGGACTCCGTAGCCAAGTAAGACGCCCGCGGCGCTACGGTCATGTAATTTAGAAGGCTGCTGAAGAGAAGGTAGAAGCACAGAAACGGAGCAGCCAAACACGCGAAAGTGCGTGACATCCGGCCGCTGACCGGTCCACAGCTCCATAGGGGTGACGGAACGAGGGAGCGAACGGGAAGGAGAGTGATTCCGAATGTAGGCAGCGGTGAGGGCCGCTTCTCCCCACCAACCACGAGGAAGGCCGCTATCATGTAGCATGCACCGCACCATGTCCAGGATGGTGCGGTTCAGCCGCTCCGCGACGCCATTTTGCTGCGGAGTATATGGGGCTGAAACCCGCCGGGTGATGCCATGCGAATCGAGGAAAGTCTGAAAAGCTTTGGAAAGATACTCCGGGGCACCATCTGATTGCAGCGCCTTGAGGCGCGTGTTACGTTGGCGTTCAACAGTAGCGAGATAGCGCTGAAAGGTGGAGAGGACGGCAGAGCGCGATTTGAGGAGGTAGATGGTGGTAAAGCGGCTGAAGTCGTCAATGAAGGTGAGGATATAGGTGGCGCCGCCAAAGGTGGTGCCAATGGGAAAGGGGCCAGCGACATCCGTGTGAACGAGGTCAAGCGGGGCAGAGGAGGAGGAGATGGAAGGTGGGAACGGTTGGCGAGTCTGCTTCCCACGAAGGCACGAAGTGCAATTGGAAGGGAGGGAACCCTGGAGTTGGAGACCGCTGACCATCCGTTCAGAGTGAAGTTGCTGCAAGCTGGGGCCGTTGAGATGCCCAAAGCGTCGATGCCAAAGGAGAGTAGCGGCAGCAGTACACGATGCTGGAACAAAGTGGAAACGGGGTCGACACCGTAGAAGCCGTAGCTTGCGGGGTTAAGGCAGCAGGGCTGAGAGAAATGAAAAACAACTTCATATCCTCGTAGGCAACAGCAAGAAGGGTGGACCCTTGAACAGTTGGGCTGGAGCATGAAGGGGAAAGTGGGTGGTGAGACCCTCTTCCTTGAGCTTGCGCACTGAGATGATGTTGTGAATGGTTTGAGGAATATAGAGGACATCGTGGAGGGTAACAGGATGCGTATGGTTCTCGTGATGAGCATAGAGGATGATATCACCAATGCCTTGGGCAAGATACTGTTCACCGCCGCCAAATCGAATGCCACTACCAGGGGACGGCCGGTGGAGGGAAGAGAATATATGAGGATTATTGCATAGATGGGATGAAGCGCCGGAGTCAAGGAGCCAGGAGGAGGGGGAGGAGGAATGGGAGCTGGTGAAGGCGGAGGCTAGAGGGCGCTGAAACATAATGGAGAAAAGGAAGAGCAGGAGGGAGAGGAGCACAAAGAGCGAGGGAAGGAATGGGAGCGACGGCAGCCAAGAGGCAGGGAGTAAGTGAGCGGTAGTGACATCAGCATAGCGAGGGTCAAGTGGAGAAGACATCAATGCCGTGGACAAAGGAGGAGTGGCAGGTGTCGGGGAAGTGGGGTCGTAGCGAGGAGAGGGGAGAATGGGCTGGGCAGAGTGGGCAGAATAAGGCAGAGGGGAGTGCGTGGATGCCTTGTTGGGCGAGCTGGATGTGGGAGAACGGAAGTTGAACTGCTGGAGCTGCTGTTGGTATGGCTGGTGGTGCTGCTGTTGGTGCAGGTGCGGCTGCTGCTGCTGCGGCGGCTGCTGCTGCTGCTGCGGCTGCTGCTATTGCTGTCGCCGTTTCTTCTTCTCGAGTTGTGGGCAGTTGGTGATGGCATGACCAGCGGCCTTGCAATAAGCACCATCAGCCGGGATTGAAGATTACTTGGCAGCACGGTCCCATTCAGCATCCACAAGGCGTCCCTCAAGCCACTCAAGGGTCATATCTTTGATTTCTCGGACAGAGCAAAGAGTCTCGGTAAGGGTGTCATAGGACCGGTGAAGACCGAGAAGGATAGAGGTGATAGTCACCCAAGAGGGAAGACTATATCCGCTGGTTTGCAGTTGCAGATCGAGGCCACGAACGTGGTCAAAGTAGGCATGGACGGACTGGCCGGGATCCATGCGGACAGAGAAGAGTTGTCGCAGCAGACCAAATTGAGCTTGATTGCCAGTTTTGGCAAACTTCTTGTTAAGAAGAGCCCACAACCCGGCAGCAGTCTCGGTTGGAGAAACAGACATGGAGAGCTGGGTTGGAAGTGTGGAGAGAAGGTACAGCAAGGCCCGCTGTTCTTGCTCAGCTGCTGCAATGGTAGGGGTAGTAGGGGGCCGACGAGCCTCGTTGGATGGAGTGGCCGGTGCGTCAGCCGTTGAAGAAGCACTAGGACCGGTGGACGAAGAGGTGATGGTGGAGTCGCCAAGGGCACCAACGATGCCGACGAGTTGAAAGGTTAGAACCACCATCCGCTTCCAGTGGTTGAAGTTGGAGCCATCGGGGAGGAGGGAGGGTAAAGTGAGTTGTCCCAAATGGCTGTCCACAGTGGCCATAGCCCCAAAAGAGGACGTCCACAAAAAAATTTACGCGATGGCCTTAGCTGGAAGTCAAAGAAAAGGTTGCCAAGGGTAGGAGGAACGTTATAGAAATATTTACGGTTGAAAAATCTACTCAGATGCAGATGGGCTGACCAATAGAGGCTCAGCTATAGCTCTGATTACCATGTAGAAAAGTAGACTCGATGTGCATAGCTGGAAGATGCACAAGTTGGAGATGGTAAAGATATGTTCCAAGAGGAGTCCCAGAAAGTGTAAGACAAAAGGGTAAATAAAGATGACAAAGATATTGGGCTAAGTAGGCCCAGATTGTGGTGAAGAGAGAGATGGAGAAGTGTGGGCGACTTGGGCTGGTCCAGGTGAGGAGAATGGCACCCAAGAGACTTGGGGTGCCCAATTGGGTGCTCAAGTCGCCCACAGTCAAGGTGGGGACGTGAGGAACCCTCAAAGTGGGCCTGGAAGCGCCCCCACTAGTGGAACCGCGATTCCACAAGTTGGATTCGTGGTTCCACAAGCTGGAGCCGCGTTTTCATGGTTGAGAAACGTGGGTCCAGGTTGGAGCCGCATCCCAAATGTTGGGATGCGTGGTGAGGTACCCCAATTCGGATTTTGGGGTGCCTAGCCTTTGATAAAATCACTTGGGGGGCACCCTATTCCTAATATAACCTAACCACTAATGTCTACACCTAATATAATGTAACACATTACACATAATAGAGAAATGTACTAAGTTGACTACATCCCAGATAAAAGCCTAAAACAGATACTCAACAACAAAACGGCTCTTGAGCATATCACTCATGCTCTCTCCCTCCCTTTGAGTCGACTCAAAAGCTTTCTTGTGTGCGCCTCAAGGAGGTCATATGGCTCTTGAGCATATCACTCATGCTCTCTCCCTCCCTTTGAGTCGACTCAAAAGCTTTCTTTCGTGCGCCTCAAGGAGGTCATACGGCTCTTGAGCATATCACTCATGCTCTCTCCCTCCCTCTCCCTTTCTTATGGGTGCCTGCTTCCCCTTCATTCATTCAAACCCTTTTCAACAGCCTTATGCCCCTCCCAGACTTCATTTGCAAGGCCCCTCCGCCGCCTCCTCTCCTGCCCGTGCTGCCGCCTGATTGTAGATTTTTTTTTACTATATATTGGTTTCCGTCACTTTCTTTTCCTGTCCTTTCCCTCTGCGCCTGCTGTTCCATGCAATTGAATGTTTGAACCCATACCATACCAGAGCCGGACGCCGCTGCCAGACTTCATTTCCAAGGCCCCTCCGCCGCCTCCTCTGCCACCCGTGCCGCCCCGCTCCATCCTCGAAGGCATCGCGTGCTTCGTCTCGTCTGCGCTCTCCGACGGCTCTCCTGCTGCCACGTGGCGCGCATCCAGGCACTCCCACATGCTGCTGAACGCTGCTGCCGTGGCGCTCAATGGGGGCCTGTTGCTGCTGCCCTGGCAGGGAGATTTGCAGAGGTGAGACAGAGATAAGGAGATGGCACACCACCCCACCCCACCCCACCCCACCCCACCCCACCCGACCACCCCACACTCCCACATGCTGCTGAATGCTGCTGCCGTGGCGCTGAATGGGCCCCCGTTGCCGCTGCCCTGGCTGGGAGGTTTGCTGAGGAAAAGAGAACGAGCGGACATCATTTTCACCTGCCCTCCCTCAGTTGCACCTTCCCCAGGCCCCCCTCAGTTGCACCTTCCCCAGGCCCCTCTCAGTTGCAGCTTCCCCAAACCCCCCTCACTCTCCCCCCTCCCCATCTACCTTATCTCCTCCCTCGTCCCGTTTCGAGGTACCCCAGCACCCTCCCTGTGCACCATCTAGCACGATTTTACTCACCATGTGTCCCACCTTCCGTCCCATCCCCCCTCCGGGAGGCCCGTCTTACTCGACTCCCCTCCTCCTCATCCGTCTCTTCTGTCCGCTACATTGCCAAGCCTCCCCGCCTCTCCCCCGTCTCCCCCCTCCTTGATTCTCGAGGTGCCTTAAACCCTTCCTTTCCACCGTCAGAATTCAGTTCTTTGCAGCGCAGCGCAGCGCACTCACACCACGTGTCCCACATTCTTCCTCCCTCCCACCAACCCCTCTCTCCTCCACCCCCCCCTTCCTTGGTAAGCCTCCCTCACTCACCTCTCCTCCTCTTCTCCCTCTTCCATCCCCATGGTCTGTTCCATTTGTGACTCACCATTTGCAGGGTGTTTCTTAGAATTCCCAAAAACACCCTTAATTTTGCAAGGTGTTATTGAGAATTCTCAAAAACACCCTCTTCGATCCCCATGGTCTGTCCCATTTGTGACTCACCATTTGCAGGGTGTTTTTGAGAATTCTAAAAAACACCCTCTTCGATGCCGTGTGTTTTCGATACTTCTAAAGAACACCCTCTTCGATCCCCATGGTCTGTCCCATTGTGACTCACCTTTTGCAGGGTGTTTTTGAGAATTCTAAAAAACACCCTCTTCAATCCCCATGGTCTGTCCCAATTGTGACTCACCATGTGTCCCACATCACATTCTCCTCTCTTCCCCTCACCCCATGGCAGGCCTCCCTGACTCGCCTCTCCTCCTCCCCCTCCCTCTCCACCATCCGCTACATCGCCAAGCCCCTCCTCCTCTCCCTCTTCTCCTCCCTCCTCGCCTCCCCCGCCTCCGTCTTCCCCCTCCTCCTCTCCCCCGCGCCTGCTGCTCCTGCTGGGGGGAAGGAGGCGGGGGAAGGAGAGGGGGAGAAGGGGGAGGAGGGGGAGGAGGGGGGGTTGATGCTGGGGGTGGTGGTACGGTGCGTGGAGAGCCTGCTAGCCTTGCACGCAGAGCCTGGGCTGGTCTTGGAATCAGAGCTGAAGCTCACAGGTGGGTGGTTGTTTAGTCAGCTCCTTACTTTGGAGCTGAGACTTCGACTACCCGGAGAAGGGGTTGATGCTGGGGGCGGTGGTGAGGTGCATGGACAGACTTCTACCCTTGCAGCAGAACCTGGGTTGCTCTTGGAGTCGGATCTCAAGTCCACAGGTGGGTGGTTGTTTAATCAACTCGATCTCAGACTCCCAAGTGGTGGGGGATTGATGCTGGGAGTGGTGGTGCGGGGTGTGGAGAGCCTTCTAGCCTTGCACGCGGAGCCGGGGCTGGTCTTGGAATCAGAGCTGAAGCTCACAGGTGCGTGGTCGTTTAATCAGCTTGTCACATTTTCCATGGTCAGAGCTGCCTTGCATGCAGAAGGAGAGAACACATGGTACGAGGGAACACATGGTACGAGGGAACACATGGTTCGAGGGAACACATGGTTCGAGGGAACACATGGTTCGAGGGAACACATGGTACGAGGGAACACATGGTACGAGGGAACACATGGTACGAGGGAACACATGGTACGAGGGAACACATGGTACGAGGGAACACATGGTACGAGGGAACACATGGTTTGAGGGAACACATGGTACGAGCGAACACATGGTACGAGGGAACACATGGTACGAGGGAACACATGGTACGAGGGAACACATGGTACGAGGGAACACATGGTACGAGGGAACACATGGTACGAGGGAACACATGGTTCGAGGGAACACATGGTACGAGGGAACACATGGTACGAGGGAACACATGGTACGAGGGAACACATGGTACGAGGGAACACATGGTTCGAGGGAACACATGGTACGAGGGAACACATGGTACGAGGGAACACATGGTACGAGGGAACACATGGTTTGAGGGAACACATGGTACGAGCGAACACATGGTACGAGGGAACACATGGTACGAGGGAACACATGGTACGAGGGAACACATGGTACGAGGGAACACATGGTACGAGGGAACACATGGTACGAGGGAACACATGGTTCGAGGGAACACATGGTACGAGGGAACACATGGTACGAGGGAACACATGGTACGAGGGAACACATGGTTCGAGGGAACACATGGTACGAGGGAACACATGGTACGAGGGAACACATGGTACGAGGGAACACATGGTTCGAGGGAACACATGGTACGAGGGAACACATGGTACGAGGGAACACATGGTACGAGGGAACACATGGTACGAGGGAACACATGGTACGAGGGAACACATGGTACGAGGGAACACATGGTTCGAGGGAACACATGGTTAGAGGGAACACATGGTTCGAGGGAACTTCTAGCCATATAAACGGAGTAGCAGCAGTGTTGAAAGAGGGTTGGCCCTTCCCCCCCCTTCCCTCGCCCCTGTCCCCCCTTCTCCATTGCCCGTTGCTGTTCTCGCCCTCTCATGCCTGGTGCAGCAGTCAGAAGCAGCAGCAAAGCAGACCAGGGCGTCCCTCCCAGCAGCGGTGCTGGCAGCAGCGATGGCAGAGATGGTGCGGCTGAAAGAGGTCAAGGAGCACAGCAGGCAAGCCAAACTCTCCCTTCCCCACTTCCGCCCCCCACCAACCCTTTTGCCCCTTTCAGTTCTCGCCCTGACTTGCCTGGTGCAGCAGTCGGCAGCAGCAGCAGCGCAGACAGGCGCGTCGCTCCCAGCAGTCGTGCTGGCAGCAGCAATGGCAGCGATGCTGCGGCTGAAAGCGGTGAAGGAGGAGGCGAGCAGCATGGAGGGGAGCGAGGAGGGGGAGATGGGGGATGACGATGACGAAGAAGAAGAAGAGGAGGAGGATGAGGAGGAGGAGGTGAGATAGGGGGTTGTTGCTTCTTGCATGCGTTCTCCGAAGTGGCGGGAGATAGAACTAAACCTCTATAACATGGATTGGACACCAAAAGATTTTTGGTTGCATCACACGTGCCACTCCCGTGCCTGGGAGGGATGCATGGCCACATTGAGGCATGTGCACCACACACGCCGCTCCCGTGTCTGGACAAGAATCTGTTGTGTTTCTCGTCCAGGCACGGGAATGGTGGGAGAATTCTCAAAAACAAAACACATCCGAATGCATCACACATGCCACTCCCGTGCCGGAGACGCATGCCCAAATTCAGGCATGTGCACCACACAGGCCACTCCCATGCCGGGACGAGAATCTCAGCGGCGCTGACCTGGAAGCAGAGCTGATGAGGCGCTATGCGTGTCCTTGGCCATTGCGCCTCGCGGGTGCTGCCTTCCATATATGCATGCTCACCCTTCTGCCCTCCCCCATCCTGTTTAGATCGACCTACACGGGGATCTCCATGTCCGCTGCTGCCCCTTGTGGGTGTTTCCTGCTCTTGCATGCACTTTCTTCTCCTCCTCCCCCATCGTACCCAGATCGACCTGGACTGGGATCTCGGCGACGCTGAGCTGGAGGCAGCGTTGATGAGGCAGTGCCCATGTGTGGCCAAGCACGGGCTCACTTACACTCGCTCATCTCTACACGGCCCGTTTCGCATATTGTCTCTTGGCTTGGCCTTGCCTCTCCCCCATCCAGATCGACCTGGACGGGGATCTCGATGATGCCGAGCTGGAGGCCGTGCTGATGAGGCAAGCACCTCGCCGTGACACGTGGTCACATCGCTCTACTTCTCCCCCTGCCCCAATCCAGATCGACCTAGATGGGGATCTTGACGATGCTGAGCTGGAGGCCGCGCTGATGAGGCGGTATGCGGAAGCGGCGACCATGATTGGCTCGATGGAGGAGGAGGAGGCTGACGTGGAGGACGAGTATGGGATCGAGCTCGAGCTAGGTGAGAATCGGGATGCTTTAAGGCTGGTAGGTCACTTGCTAGGGAGAATGGCATTGGCGGATGCTGACGTGGAGGCTGAGTACGGGGACGAGCTGGAGCTAGAGTATTAGAGATGGAGGTAGAGGAGAAGAGCTGGGTGGGGATATTTGGCTGCCAGAGCAGACAGAGCCTGAGCTAGCTACAGGACTAGGGGAGATTGGAGGAGGGGGCTGGCGTGGAGGATGAGTACAGGGAAGAGCTGGCGCTAGACTATTAGAGATGGAGGTAGACGAGAAGAGCTGCGTGGGCTAGGTTAGCTGCCAGACCGGGCAGAGCCTGAGCTACGTATTATTTGACTATGTGACGGCTATGTGATGTGAATATGTGACGGCTATGTGATGTGACTATGTGACGGCTATGTGACTATGAGACGGCTATGTTACAAGGGGAGATTGTATTGGAGGAGGCGGTTGGTGTGGAGGATGAATAAGGGGAACAGCTGAAGGCTGGCTAGAGTGCTTTGAGTCGGTGGTTTTTTAGTCGACGCAAAAATCACCTTCGGAGGCGGCTGGTGTGGATGATGAGTAAGGGAACAGGTGAAGGCCGTTAGAGTGCTTTGAATCGTCTCATAAGCTAAGTGAGAGTGGGACAAATGGCACTGATGCACGGAGTGGATGTGGAGGCATGTATGCACCAGACTGGACCGCTCTTGCGTGTGCTTTGCGGATCCTTGCAACTGAACTTTCAGCCCTTGCTCCTTCCCCCTTCCCCCTTCCCCCTTCCCCCTTCCCCCTTCCCCCTTCCCCCTTCCCCCTTCCCCTTTCCCCCTTCGCACCAGGTCTCACAGGTTTGCAGGACGAGCAGGCGGCGGTGAGGGCGTGTCTGCAGCAGCACTGGGCGGCTCTCGGCCCGCAGGTGGTCACTCTCAAGCCCTCACTCTCTTCTAACTTCGCTGAGGCCTTCCCTCCGGCCAAGCCGTTCCTTCTTTAGAGCTGCTTGCCAGGCTCTCCACTGCTAGAGCTGCTGCTAGGCTAGAAGGGGAGGGTAAGGAAGGGAAGGGAGGGAGCTATGTGGGGCCTCTGCTGCTAGAGCTGCTGCTATGTGTGGCGCATCTCCTGCCAGCACTGGGCTGCTCTTGGCCCTCAGGTGGCCACCCGCAAGCCCTCGCACTCTTCTGAGCCTTCCCTCCTGCCAAGCCGTTCCTGCTGTGAGGCACTTACTCCCTCCCGCTTTAAGGCATCTCAAGACAGCGGTGAGAGCTCGTCTGCAGCATAACCGGGCCGCTCTTAGCCCGCAGGTTGTCACGCTCAAGCCATCACCTGCTGAATTTTCTCAAGCCCTACCTCTGGTCAAGTCGTTAATGCTGAGAGACAATTAGGCTTAGGCCCTATTGCATTACTGCCTTGCATGCAAAGTTCCTGCTAACTTTTAGGGCAGTCTGAGAATCAGACAGGGTACGAAAGTTGTCTGACCATCATATGAGCTGTTTGGCTTGGTCTAAAATTTCAGATGAAGTATACAGCCTTATCTGTGTTTGCAGATGAAATTTGCCTCCTGAAAATTAAGCTGCTCATCCTCTAGGCTTTGACTTAGATGTCTTCCAGAGACAACACTAGATTCCTCCTACGACAGCAGCAGCTACGGGCTCTAGAAAGAAACATCCTACGAGCCACAGTTGTAGCCAACAAACATCCTACAGCAGCTACTCTATCACTACCAATGACTTAGGCTTGCTGCTAACATCCTACAAGCTCACTAGAGCTTCCAAGTTCCAACCAATATCGCTGCAGAACCAACTAGCATTAACCCTACCCTACTCAGACTCACTGCCACTGCTGCATCCTTGCTCATCCTCCTCACTATCAGACTCTAGCAAAATCGCTCTGCCCTTGCCCTTCATCTTCCATACCGGGCCTGCTGCACCATCCTCATCAAACATCCGCGCCGCCTCTGCTGCTGCAAGTGCCTCGGCCTGTCGTGCTGCTGCTGCTGCTACCTTCGCTGCTGTTCTTGCCGCCTTGAATGCCGCTGACCGCTTCTGCCTCTTCGCTGAACGTGAACCCTGCCCCATCACTACCTCCCTCGCGGGCCGCCTCTTCTTGACCCCACGCCACTTCGCCACCATGCCATCCCACTCCATGTCGTAGTCGAGGAGCGACATGGTCATCAGATCGCTGAGCTTCGCGTCACACAGGTTGCCGCGCAACCAACTCTTAATGACGTTCTGGCGGCTGAAGCCGCGCTCGGCACTCGACAGTGCTCAACGGCAGCACCGTCTTCCAAATGCTGACAATATTCGGGTAGGCCGTCTTCCAGTCGGGAGTGGAGAGCATGTTCTTCAAACTTGCATGAAAGTCGAGGTCATCCTGGTGAGTAGACATGATAGTGGTGAAGCTATTCAGCTCCTTTTTTGCCTTCCCCCAGTGGACACCTTCAGGACAGGGGACAGAAGAGCCACGGGAGAAAGGAGGGTGTTTAGTAAATGGTAGACAGGGTTGAAGTAAATACACATCATGAACAAGGCAGAGAAAGACTTGAGCCACATGCATGCTTAAATACGACAATCACCAGGCAGTGTGTCGGGAGCGGAGGAGTCGCGCTTCCAGAGGTTGCGGAGAGCCTGCAGCCACGCCACGAACTTCCGCTCCCGCTTTGCCGCCGTCCGGGGATAAAGACCCTGCTTGAACAGTCGCGTGCCGTTCAACGACGCCAGGTCAGAAAGTCGCGCCTGGAGCTTGCTGATAATGGACAGCACCACCGCCGTCGCCAGCTCCTACAGTGAGTCGATGTTCCCGCCTGTGTGTTGCCCTTCAATGTCGGCAGTCTGTAGCTCGTACGTGTGAGTCGTCGGGGTGCCGTTCGCGTCCACGCCGCTAATGGTGATGTCGGCTCCAGTAGCTACCAGGTTCAGGAATTCGAAGAGATCTCCTTCTGCGGGGCCGAAGCAGGTGCCGTAGTTGACATAACGAGCCCGCAGCGTCACGATGGTGTTGTCCACCATCCTAAGCACCTGGGTGACGTCGACCTGCGGAGGGGCGAGTACGGGATTAGAAACAGAGAATTATAAAATGCTGGAAACAGTTAAATGGTACCCGCACCTGCCGCTGCTGGAACTTCAGATTGAGGGCGTTGAGCTTCTTCAAAACGTCAGCAAGGAAATACAAGAGAAAATGGAACTTCAAGGTTACAACGAGTGCATACATAGCAGAATCATACTCCCTTAGGAGAAGCACTGCTGCAGGGAAAACCTCAACCAGACACTGGATGGCCTCGCCCCGAGACAACCAACGGATATTGTGAATCCCTTGCATCTCGAGGTTCGTCTCGGTGACCACCTCCTGCAGCTCTTTGAATCGGGAATGGACGACAATCGACCAGCCGAGAATGTCGGCCAAGGATCGTACAACTTTGTCAACCATCCCCAAGTCAGGGAACTCTGCTGCAGCATCCTTGGCAGCGAGAGCTTCCCTGCACACATCGCAAATGAAGCTGGTCAGAATCCGGGCAGAGAAAACCATAAGGCAAAACTGATGTGGGCCACAACTTACCTATGAGCAATACAGTGGCATGACACGAGGTGAGGAATACGAGTGCGAAGTCGTGCGACAAGCCCGTTTTGGGCTCCCGTCATCACACTCGCTCCATCAGTGCTTATGCCACATATGCGGTTGAGGTCGACGCCTTGTCCCTCCAGGTGTGTCAGCAGGACGGCTTGAAGCGATGCGGCATCGCACTTCTCGACCGTCAGGTGAGCGAAGAACTCAGTCACGACCGTCGTATCGCGCAGGAAAGTCAGATACACTATCATATGCTTGCCCCGCCGCCTGTCGGTGCTCTCATCAAGCTGGATGCCGAGAAATGGGCTCGCCTTGATGTGGGTCAGCTGCTTCGCGCGCAGGTAGCCGACCATGTTCTCTATGAGTTGGTTGAAGCCATACCTGCACACATAGAGGTAAAAGCACTGCTTAATAGCAAGACTTTCCGTGACTGACTCCGGAATACAAGCAACGGTGGCATATAGAAAGATCATGAGAACCCTGCACAAACAAGGCGGCCCGCAGGATTGACAACACTTACTCGCTTTGGTAGGTTCCACGTTCTTTCTCTGGCAGATCAGGAGTGCCTTGCTGCACCATGAACTGCACAAATGATACGAAGAGGAGAACTGGGGCGTCCGACTTGCAGATGAAGTGGACGATCGCCATCAGCCGCTTCAATCGCTTGGATTCCGCGTCGCCATTTTCAAACTCCACGATGGACCGCTACTTTGCCTTCTTGCCGTCAAGTTGAAGCTTGCGCGCCATCGCCGCCTCGTGCTTTTGGCTGTGCTGATGCTTCCGCATAGTCTGCTTTTGAATATTGATCCCGCCCTCTCCATTGCGCCCGTACTGGTAGTCGGGGTCGTCACCGTGCACCATGCAGACTGTGCACTTCATGCACGGACGCCCCTCGGAGGTTTCAGAGATGACGAGCCACGGAAAATGGCGCGTCCACTGCTCTTCCGCCTTTGCCTGAAGCTCTGCGACTGTTAAGGGAAACGGACCTTCGTCGTCCACGGTGTGGACGGCGCGGGATCAGTATGAGCCCGCTGCTCGCCAAGGCGTACGGAGGACGTGGAGGCAGATAAGGCAGGCCTACCGAAGGTAAGCTTGCGCTGCTGGTATCGCACCCTTCCAGGCTTGCGCACAGGAAGCACGGGCCCTCCCGAGATGCGAGCGGACGGGCCGACGGAAACGGCAGGTGCGGCATGCGGTGACGGGCTGGTAGAACGCCCTGGCTGGCTAGTAGGAGGCTCAGACCGGCTGCTAAGAGACCTTGACGGGCTGCTAGGACGCTCAGACGTGGGGGGCGCTGTACCCTCAGGCGCGAATGTGATCCACGGTTCTGTGTCTAGCAGAGGTAAAGGGGACGGTGGGGTGGATACAGTTGATGCGGCGTGTGCTGGTGCTGACGCTACAATGGTAGCACAACCAGTAAGAAGGTCGATGCCTGAAAGCCTGGGGAGCAAGGCTACTATATGCTCCTCGACGGGGGAATCTACCGCTGGCTTTGCGGAACCAGCGGCAGCAGCCATGAGACCTATTCGTCGAGCAGATACAAGACTACACTTGCGACATTGCTGAGAGGACGACTAGGAGGAACGAGGCAGGGGGGAGGCATCTCGTGTAGAAAAACTGTAACCAGAGGGTGACTGAACAGATATGGCGCCACGACGAGAGCCTTGCACTGCCGTTACGCAAGGACGCCTCGGCACCTTGCATGGGACGGTGCCTGATCTAGCACGAAACTCATCTCGCGCTGGCAGGCATCGAGGGTGGCTTCCCTACAGCGCAGGCAATGTGCTGGTAGTATGCTGCATGCAAATCATGCCTTAGTGTTGCCAGCAAGCCAGGTTTTGCACATATCGACGCATCGGTAACAGCATGTGACTCAGGCAGCTGTAAATCTGATAAGAAATGTACAGCGGTGATGAGAGGCCACGCGACGACTTTGTTGTGCATGCGACGGTTTCCTAGGACTGGATGGCACAGGTGGCCCAGTGCGCACATGGGCCGGTGGGAGGGTGGGGAACTGGGCAGATGTGTCGATATCAGACGGAAATATACACGCTATCTGAAAATTCAGACGACTGCCTACACCTAGTCTGAGAATTCATACAAATATATATAACCAAGATGGTCGTTCAGATGGAAAATTAATGGTTGTCAAAAAATCAGATGACACGGAAAATGTGAGTCAGATTCTCAGATGAACAGACGGATTTCGTCTGCTAACGGGAACCCTGCTTGCTTGGCATGGCTTGGCTCTCAGAGTAACGAAATTAACTACAATGGAGGGTACAGGGTGCGTTTGTACTAGTGGTTTTTTTGTTAGAATACGATAATGATTTACTAGAAAGAGAAACCTAGAACATATACCTGTTGGGTTGTACTCACTAGAAGCACACACCTAGTCTAGCCTATAACGTCTACATAGAACATATGTATAAGCTGACACACCCCTTAGGCTAGATAAGGGGTGAGCTAAGCAAGAAGCACACAGCTCAGGGTGGCACTACTAGTCCAACCACTGAGGCAGGGGTCCAGAGACCAGTCAGCAAGAGTACAAACAAGACTAAAGCAAGCCAGGGCGGCACTACTAGTCCAGCCACTGGAGGTAAGGCCACAAGGCCAGTCAGACAGATATAAATAGTAGAGAGTACACCATTAGGGTCCTAACAAGTGAGTAGCTACAGGAACAAGACCGAGCTGAACACAGTGCCGCTGATGATCTTTAGGCGCAAGCGCCTTAGTAAAGATATCAACTGTGTTGGCACCGGAGGCCAAGTGAACTACACGGGCCTGGCGATGCTGCTGTAGCTCGCGCAGGAGGAAGTACCGCAGCTGGATATGCTTCGCTCTGCCCTCAAGCCGAGGCTCCTGACACAGGAGAATCATGGCCCTGTTGTCAACATACAGGTCCAGGGCAGAGCTAGGCCGCTCACCTAAGTCTGTGAGCAAGAAGGTCAGCCAGC